GAATGAAGTGTTCTAGAGGGGTAATAGGGTACTATGAGCTCTTTAAGATATGAAGGGGCCTGACCATGAAGAGCTTTATAGGTGAGGAGGAGGATTTTAAATTCTATTCTACATTTTATAGGGAGCCAGTGCAGAGTAGCTAGTACAGGAGAGATGTGATCTCTTTTTCTAGTTCCTGTCAGTACTCGTGCTGCAGCGTTCTGAATTAATTGGAGCGTTTTAATGGACTTATTGGGGCAACCTGATAATAAAGAGTTGCAGTAATCCAGCCTTGAAGTAACAAATGCATGGATTAGTTTTTCTGCATCTGTCTGTGATAGGATGTGTCTAATTTTTGTAATATTACATAAATGAAAGACGGCAGTCCTAGAGGTCTGCTTTATGTGGGAGTTAAATGACAAATCCTGATCATAGATAACTCCAAGATTCCTGACAGTGGTGTTAGAGCCCAAGGTAATGCCATCTAGAGTAACTATGTCTTTAGACAATGAGTCTCTAAGATTTTTGGGGCCAAGTACAAGAATTTCGTTTTTTTATGAGTGTGACATCAGAAAATTGCAGGTCATCCAGGATTTTATGTCCTTAAGACATGTTTGTAATTTAGATAATTCGATTAATTTCATTTGGCTTGATTGATAGATATAACTGCGTATCATCTGCATAACAGTGAAAGTTAATGGAGTGATTCCTAATAATGTTGCCTAAAGGGAGCATATATAAAGTAAATAGTATTGGTCCAAGTACAGAACCTTGTGGAACTCCATGACTAACTGTAGTATTTACTGAAGATTCATCGTTAACATGTACAAACTGCGAACAATCTGATAAATATGACTTAAACCAGCTTAGTGCGGTTCCTTTAATGCCAATTTGATGCTCAAGTCTCTCCAAAAGAATATCATGGTCAATGGTGTCAAATGCAGCACTAAGATCTAATAATACAAGTACAGAGACAAGTCCACTGTCAGAAGCAATCAGAAGGTCATTATTAACTTTAACCAGAGCTGTCTCTGTGCTATGATGAACTCTAAATCCTGACTGAAAATCCTCAAATAAACTATTGTTATGTAGAAAGTCACACAACTCTTTGGCGACTACTTTCTCCAGAATCTTAGAGAGGAAGGGGAGGTTAGAGATCGGTCTATAGTTGGCTAAAACCCCTGGGTCAAGAGTGGGCTTTTTAAGAAGGGGTTTAATTACAGCTACTTTAAAGGACTGTGGTACATATCCTGATAATAAAGAAAGATTAATCATATCCAGTAAAGAAGTGCCAATTAAGGGAACAACTTCTTTAAGCAGCCTAGTTGGGATCGGGTCTAATAGACAGGTTGATGGCTTCGATGAAGAAATGATTGAAGTTAACTGATGAAGATCGATAGCAGAAAAACTGTCTAAATATATATCTGAGTTTACATTGACAGAAGTCCCTGAACTTGGAGAGCCACTGATAACTGTTGATGGCAGTTGGTGATTAATTTTTCTCTAATAGTAATAATTTTATTATAGAAGAAGCTCATGAAGTCATTGCTACTTAAGTTTATGGGGATATGTGGCTCGATAGAGCTGTGACTCTCTGTCAGCCTGGCTACAGTGCTGAAGGGGAACCTAGGGTTGATCTTATTTTCTTCAATTAGTGCTGAGTAATAGGCTCCTCTGGCATTACGGAGGGCCTTTCTATAAGTTTTAAGATCATCTTGCCAATTTGAGCGATATTCTGATAATTTGGAAGAGCGCCATTTCCTTTCAGATTTCCTAGCTATTTGCTTTAACTGGCGGGTTTGGTGGTTATACCAAGGTGCTAGTCTCCTATGTTTTAATAATTTCCTTTTTATAGGAGCGATAGAGTCTAATGTTGATCGTAGTGAGCCTGTAGCACTATCAACAAGATTATCAATTTTGGAGGGACTAAAGTTATTATTTATATCCATTCAGATAGAATTTTGCTAGCAATAACGTTAGTAAGCAAGCTAAGTGTGTGTGCGTAACCTGCAAACAGCAGCCAGATCAGCCTCTGCAGGCTGGATGAAGCTAGCTGAAGCTAACGTTAGCATGCTTTCTTTCTATACAGCTTAATATCTGAAATATATGAAGGATGATCAGAGACTGAGACCTCCAGTGTCCTTGAAGAGAAACTGATGAATCCACAGAGAAACACTGATTAATGACCAACACACACACACATATACAGCAGGTGTGTGTGTGTGTGTGTGTGTGTGTGTGTGTGTGTGTGTGTGTGTTCTGCCTGTCAAATCATCATCATCATCATCTTCTCCTGCTGTGTTGTCCTGATGCTGCAGTGTGATTGGTTACTGAGTCGGTGGGCCTGAACGCCTTTAAAACAAAACACCATTTATCTCACACACACACACACACACACACACACACACTCATTGTCACTCTCACACACACACACACACACACACACACACACACACACACACACACACACACACACACTCTCACACACACACACACACACACACACACACACACACACTCACTCTCACACACACACACACACACACACACACACACACACACTCATTGTCACTCACACACACACACACACACACACACACACACACACACACACACACACTCACTCTCACACACACACACACACACACACACACACACACTCACACACACACACACACACACACACACACACACACACACACACTCACACACACACACACACAAACACACACACACACACACACAGCCGTAGTTCCTCAGTATTTTGATAAAGTTTGGAAACGACTGTCAGGTCATCAGATGATTTTTTTTCTCTGTAGATTTGGTCCACCTCACCTGTCAGTCAGTTGGCTCCGCCTACGAGGACCTGTCGCCAGTGGTTACCAGGATGTTCCGCACCCCAGAGTCACATGACCAAGGTACCTCTCTCTCTCTCTTTAATAAATGATACTCTCTCTATCCTGTAAACTTCCTCTTCTCTCTGACCTCCTCCTCTCTTTGATTCATTCATCATGTTCTTCCTTTAATTATAACACGAACAAGCTGCACACACACACACACACACACACACACACACACACACACCTGCAGGATGGATGGATGCAGGTATGGAGAGATTCATCAGAGCTGATGAGAGAGGAGGAGAGACCTGGTATTAACTGTTATTAGTAATATTATTAATGATCAGTGTATCTTTACTACCAGACTGACAGAGCCTCTGATCACCAGATCAATATCAATATCAGAACTCAGTAGTTATTGATCAAAAAAACTAATCTAAGCAGATGGATGATGTTCAGTGTGATGAAGATGAAGATGAAGATGTGTGAGCATTAACGTGTGTGTATGTTAATCTGACATTTAAACATTTAAAGGACGCTGAGCTGCTCCTCCCGACACCAACAGCTCCATATTTTTATTTATTGATCAACTATAATAACGTATAACACACTTCTGTAATTAATGTTAAAGAGTTCGGTCTAGACCTGCTCTATTTGAAAAGTGTCCTGAGATAACTTCTGTTATGAATTGGCGCTATACAAATAAAATTGAATTGAATTGAATTGAACTTCTGACGTCCTCCGGCTGCTCAGCTTCCACTCTCTGCTGCTGTATCTGCTGTTAGTGGGCGACAGAACCGGGCTCAGCAGACGGACCGGGATCGAACACAGCCTCCGAGACCGACAGGGAATAACGTTAAAGTACCGAGGTCAGTTACAGAGTTTCTGATGGACAGATTAATCAGTAGCCAACTGCTAGCTGCTGTTAGCTGGACAGCTAAGCTAACTGACTCAGTCCCGGGACTCCAGGAGCCAAACCCAGCTAGTCCCTCCCTACTTCCTGTTTTTACAGGAAACACTTCCTGTGAACTTGTCCCAGTTTGATAATTGAATTATTGATATTGTATTAGTATTAGATTCAGTAACAGTGATCAATAGAAGAGGTTTAATGCAGCTTTATTGATCCTGATGAACAGACAGAAACTGTTAGTCTGCTCCTCCTCTAATTGACATTTGACTAACAACCTGTCTGACATTTTACCCTCCTCCTCCTCCTCCTCTTTCTTTTTTTTCGTCTCTTCCTGCCTTTGAAATGGTCGCCGTAGTGACAGAAGTCTTTGAAGACGTCTGTTTGTTCAGTGTTTGCAATAATGTGATGCTACATTCAGGAGCTTTTAAGCAGAACCAAGAAACATGGTCCTGTTTGATGTTTGAGGAATGATTTTAAGGTTTTACTGAATACTCTTAAGGCTCTACGACGTCTGAAGGACTCACACTGTTACTTCCTCTGTGTGGGAATCTGATGTTTTGGAGAGCCAATCACGGGTTCCCACACGTCCTGGAAAACCTGGAAATGTAGGGACTGGAAATTAATTAAACTAAGCAAATATGTTGGAAATAATCTGTGTTGTCCTGGAACATTTTAATTGTATTTGAGCTGCAGATTCGGTTGAGCTGCACAATGTGGTAAAAACATATATATAACAGATGATTTGATTCATGATTAATGCGAGTTATCAATCTTAAATCAGGAGAACTGCTTTGTATCAAGAAAATAGTAAGTTTGTTGTTTTTCTTTTTATATGATTTCATCTAAACGACTTTAGCTTCAAAGTAATGCAATCTACAATGCTTAGTAGTTTTAATTTGTGTTTTGGCTCATCCACTATGGAGGGGGGAGGTTATGACCTATACTGCAACCAGCCACTGGGGGGCAATAGAGGTGTTCTGGCTTCTTTTCTGTGTATCTGTCTGTATAAACAGTGTTAGGCTATATGAAGTGAAAATAAGTTACCAACATAGAACAAAGAATCGTCTGCGTACAGGGAGATAAAACTTTGTCTATGTGCTGTGATTTCTGTATTTTCTGTCATAAGACAAATAAGACTGTAAACCACTCCAGACAGTCAGATTGACTTTTATTATTGTGTCAGACTGCATTAGCTTTAGCATAAAAAAGGCTAAAATATTATGATAAGAATAAAAAAAACAATTTAAAGAAATACGAAACTTTGAATATTCCGTAATTAAACATACAACAGATAATTCAAACTAAATGTTAAAATATGTGAATGTTAACTGCCTGCCTGTCTGTCTGCCTGCAGAAACCTGCCCGTCTGTCCTCTGGTGTCTGTACTTCAACATGACCGACGGTTCAGGGCTGGAGGCTGAAGGTCACAACCTCCCGTCTAACGTGTACGTCTGCTCCGGACCGGATGGAGATCTGGGTCACGAACTCGCCATCAGACAGGTGCGACACACACACAAGTCTCCTCTGACTGTTGATTGGCTTGTTGCCATGGTTACACAAGTGATATTAACACGTTCAATATTTAGATTGTAATTGGCTTCATTAGCAGGACGAATATTAAGCAGTGAATAAACCTACAAACCACTTTTTCCAGCTGACTGATTAAAACAGCTGTAGGATGTGTCGTAATCGGTTAGTGTGGTAATTAGAGTAATTAGAGTAATAAAGAGTAACAACCTAACTTTTGAACCTGGACATTATTTCCATGTTTTTGTGTCAAAATGACGAATGAGGACAATTCAGTGAGAGTGCTGCAGCTGCAAAACGAACTATAATCCTTATAGGCAGTTACCACTTGACAAGCCCTGCCCCCTTTTGCTCTGTGGTCCAGTCACAGTTGAGTGAGCCTCGGTCAACTTCCTTCTTTCCTGTACTTAGTGATGCTATGCTAGGCTAATCTACGTTGGGAAGACACCCACATTTTGAAGATGGTTGAAATATAAAAGAGATAAATATATAGTCACATCTTAAGTAAGATTATCTTTTGCTAACATTAGCTAACGTAATTTTGTATATATTATATATAGCAATAGATTTTCAGCTCTGGATCAGGTCAGTGCTTTTCCTTAAGGGAGCCTGGAATAAACTGAATATTTTATATTATTTCATATTATACTCAACTGTACACAAGAACTGCTGAAGTTATTTAAATTATTTTTACATTTACAGTATATTTTACGTTTTTTAAAATTTCAGGAACTTTTAATTCTGTTTTCAGTCATATTTATTTACTAAGCTTCGTTTTGGACAAATTCACTGTCGACTATCAGCCCTAACAGAGAGGTGGTGTCTGTAGGTTGTTTTTAAGAAATAAATGGGTTATTTTTAGGCCAGATCTTGAATTGAGTGATTGATTGATTGATTGATTGATTTCAATGTCTGTTCAGGCCGAGTCAATCTTCCAGAAGATTCTTCCAGAGGAGGATTTCTGTCCTCCTGCTCCGAACCCTGAAGACATCATCTACGACGGAGACAACACCTCCTCCTCCGCGGGAGGAGAGGAGGAGAAAGAGGAGAACGATGGAGTGGCAGAGGAAGAGAAACAGGAGGAGGAGAAGGAGATGTTGGAGGAGGAGAAGGAGATGTTGGAGGAGGAGAAGGAGATGTTGGAGGAGGAGAAGGAGATGTTGGAGGAGGAAAAGGAGGTGTTGGAGGAACAGAACCTTCAGACTGAAGAGTAATAAAGTGAACATCACAAACCTTCCATTAAGCCAAACCCTCCTGCAGTGGATTGTGGGTAACAGTTGCCTTCATGTATTATTGTTTTAAATCTTTATTATTTTTCTATGATTTGTAATTTTCTTTCTGTCTTATTTAAATATGATTTCTTCTGTTCTGTGGAAACATTAAAGCTTCAACAGCAACAAACTGTCTCACTGTTTAATCTTTATTCTCTGATGCTTCAGTGTCGGTCTGCATGTAAATCCACCAGCAGACAGGAATCTGTATATATATCTATATATCTATATACAGTATGTATGTATGTGTGTATATATATATATATATATATATATACATATATAAACAGTATCTAGATATCTCTATATAAAGACAGAAGTAATATTTCATAAAATCCTTTAATATTCTCAGAAACCGTCCATGTTGTCTTCAAATGAACTTTTTAAAATCCTGAATGTGTTATTTAATCATTTGGTTTAAATGTTAGAAACAGAATTAATTTGAAGTAATCTTGTTAAAGTTATAATAAGTTATAATAATCATTGTCTGTTGATCATAAACCATAAAGACGTCCAACGTGTCACAACCACACAGACAATAAACATTTTCAGCTTCTTTGTGTGGTATATTAAGTTGCGATGATGTGAAGATGTATTGAAGAGAAGTCCGCTGACACCATCTTGATTGTATATAAAGGTTTATTACAAAAAGGTACAGCATCATTTCAAGCCCCGGGAGCTTGGAGAGCATCCTGCCAAATGAACAGCTCTGTCTATATGCGTTGAACATAGGCTTTATATAGGTCTATTGTTTATTCAAGAAAATAGTAAAGAAACATCTGGTTCTAGTACAGATATGTGAGGTAAAACAGGGAGATGGGGGATTTATTAAGATAAAGGTCAGAGGCCATTGAGAGGCCCCTAGCCTAAACATTTCATAGTAAGAATTACGACGTTGAACCTCATGTCTTACTAACACTGCATATGCTGACAAAAATATCACTTGAACTTATAACAAACTGTAACTTAAATGTATAGGCCTTCGGATACCACATTTGCTTCATTGGCCATAAACGTTCGTTCTTTCTTCCAGTTCGACTCATTTCCAGATCAAATGTTTCCTCAGACTTCAACCTTTAGAACAGGAAGTGGATCAGCGGGGGGTTGGTGGCTGCAGTCCTCCTGCAGGTTCTTAGATCTCACGTCGAGCTGCTGTTTAAACCCCCGAGCAAGCACACTGCTCCTACCCACAATCCCCAGGGAGAGAAACCGCTGCATGATGGGAAACTAAAGGGTAGGCATCGCCTGCAGACGTCTAAATGTCAGTCTGAAGGAGCGTCCTGCTGTTTGTGCCAGACTCCATTCATTATTTCTCCATTTTAAGAGAAAACTCTCTGGTTCTGGAGTTCAGGCTGTTTCCACACACTGAAGTGAGATTCAGTGTGTTGCTGCCTCCTGCTGGCCGACAGCCTGAACTGCAGCTACAGGGGGTGGACACAATAATGTGAACACCAGGAGTGTTATAGGCTGGGGCTGCGTTTCATTAGTAGTTCCACTTCCCTCGTTCACTTACCCTCAGCCCTTAGTATGACGTAACAGCATACGTCGCACGGAGGCCCCTTGGAGCGCGGAGGGAAAGTGGGCGGGGGAGGAGCGGGGGGAGGAGCAAGGGATTTAAATGAAACCAGAGCCCGTCTACGGAGAGCCTGGCCACTCTCTATAAAGTCCCATTGTACCGAATACTGGTTGCAGTTCCAGCAGAGGTCCACTGGGGGCGATCGCCCATCAGTGCAGAATGAATGGGAGCAGATGGAGCTAGACGGCTACATTTGTCTCTTTCCCCTTCATTGTCGTTGAGAAATCTCAGATTTGATTGTAGTTTTTAAAGTTCAACATGGGTTATAGGTCGAAAGTTGAATGAACGAGTTCTTATGTCCTTTCGATTTCTTACAGGACGAGTTGTTGTTGCCCATAACACGCTAGCATTCTGCTAATGAACGCTGATTGGTCAGTGAAGGACTGATTACGACCAGAGATCCCGCTCGATGGCATCGTGGCATCCGAAGCGGGACCAGAATGTTAAGGCGGATTTTTTCGCCCAAGTTCTTTTTTTTAAACACAGAAACTTTTTTTGTGTTGCTGGTACTTTTATCTGCCTATCGTTATGTCTGTGTCGTCGATGCCTCGAGAGAAAAGGAAGTGCCGAGCGCGGAAGCACAAAGTGACTCAAGGCTTGCCGTAAAGCGGTATCTCTGGCCGTACGATGTGTGTGACGTAATTGACATTTTAAAAGACTTTTTAAAGCAAATAAGTGACTCTAAAAAATCTAACACCCAGCAATGTGTAATTTCTTTGCATCCCCTTTCAAATGCAACATTCAAATTACTAGACAAACAATGATATCCTGAGAAAAGTGGATTGTGAGGGTATAGCTCCATAGAGCTCCATTCATTCTGCTCTCATCCTGTGAGCGCCCTCACATGGAGCCAGAGGGGAACTGCAACAGTTCAGAACCTGGAAGTAGACCGAGAGTGGAACTTCTCTCCTTATTAGACATTCTCTGATGAAACGCACTTGCCCTTACTCGGCGTTATAGCGGCAATGACGTAAACTGCAATGCATTGTGGGTGATATCCACCTCGGAGTGACCATTGTTGTTCACTCGCTCCCTCAGCCCTCCGAGGGTCCATCTCACCAAGTTCACTTCAGTTTTACAGACAATTGGAACAACACTTATGACGGCGGCGGGGATTCCCCCGAGGGCAAGTGAACGAGGGCGTGTTGAACGACTAATGAAACACAGCCAAAGACTTCTCTTTATTGATCCTTTTGGGATGACTCCCGCAAGGAAATTTAATTTCCAGCAGCTTACAAAACAGTGTAGAAAAGAGGTATAAAAAAAATACAGTACAAGATAAACAATAAACTCTTTGCTAGATATAGAAAGTAGAGATAAGAATAAAAATAAAATAAGATTAATGGAAAATGAAATCAAATAAAATAAATGTAGAGAACTGTATAGAGGATACATATAGATAAATATATAGGACAGTATATGGCATTGTGTTGTTATACAGTCGATAAGTGGCATTGTGTTGTTAAACAGTGGATAAGTGACATTAAGCAGAAATTAGCAGTTAAATTAAATTAAATTATTGCACTTAAGTGGTGGATCAAGTTATTGCACAAAAAAATAAGTAAGAGAAAAATAAGTAAGAAGAGTGTCCAGGTATGTATGAGTAGATCATTATTGCACAGTGAGTGGCTACCACTCCTTCCCTTCTGTCCTCTTTACCCTATTTCCTCCTCCCCCCGAGTGAGGAGTTGTAGAGTGTGATGGCACGAGGGACAAAGGAGTTCTTGAGTGTGTTGGTCCTACACTTGGGGAGGAGCAGCCTTTCACTGAACAGGCTCCTCTGGTTGCTGAGGACGGTGTGCAGGGGGTGGCTGGCGTTGTCAATAATGTCCAGCAGTTTGTCCAGTGTCCTCCTCTCTGCCACCGTCACCAGTGAGTCCAGCTTCATGCCGACCACAGAGCCGGCCCGCCTGATCAGTTTATCCAGTCTGGAGGTGTCCTTCTTGGATATGCTGCCCCCCCAGCACACCACAGTGTAGAAGAGGACACTGGTAACCACAGACTGGTAAAACATCCACAGAAGTTTGCTGCAGATGTTGAAGGATCGCAATCTCCTCAGGAAGTATAACCTGCTTTGTGTCTTCCTGTACAGGTGTCTGGTGTGTGTTGTCCAGTCCAGTTTATTATCCAGCCACAGCCCGAGGTATTTGTATGATTGCACAGCCTCCACCTCAGCTCCCTCTAGCAGGACTGGTCGCGGTCTTGGTCTGGACTTCCCAAAGTCAATGACCAGCTCCTTTGTCTTAGAGGTGTTGAGCTGTAGGTGGTTAGTGTGACACCAGAGAGCAAAGTCCTCCACCAGACTCCGATACTCCTCCTCTCCGTCACCCCTGATACACCCAACGATGGCTGTGTCATCAGCGTACTTCTGTATGTGGCACAGCTCCGAGTTGTAACAGAAGTCCGAGGTGTACAGGGTGAAGAGAAGAGGGGCCAGCACTGTGCCCTGGTGGGCTCCAGTGCTGCTGACCACAGTGTCAGACGTGGTGTCCTTCAGCCTGACGTACTGTGGCCTGTCAGTGAGGTAATCCTTGATCCAGTCCACCAGATAGGAGTCCACTCCCATCCTGTTCAGTTTGTCCAACTCACAGAAATCATATTTCTCCATAGTCCACTCAACCAGCACCAAACCTCTGTGTATTCACTCTGCATTTTAAACAGTTCTAAAGTCCACTTTAGCTAATAATGTAAGTTCAACTGTAAAAAATCAAAGTGCAGGAACCACAACTAAAGTGTCTGCAGCTATGTTTTTATTCCACATCATAAATATAGTTATAACAATAAGTTTGTTTCAGTCACTCACACTGACTCATGGTTCTGCTGGTTTACTTCCCTCACAGAAACACAGACAGTGAGAGATAACTCTGCTGTATCTGTCCCCAGTCAGGCCTCATTAGGCTGTTTATAGGTTACTGTTAACAGATTGATCCATAAGTTCATCACTGGTGTACAGCAACACAGTAAACATTATTAGTATTTAGTCAAACACCCACAGACTCAGTACAGGGACACTAACCCAAGTCAAACAGTAAAAGCAGAAAAGCTCCAAAGGCAGGAGATCAAACCAACTACTTCAATATTTACTATATGAACTATTTACCGATCAGCTTTAAGAACATCCTGATCCAGAGAGAAAAGGTCAAACTAACTGTTTACATATTTACCAGCTACAGGAAGATCCTGATCCAGAGAGAAAGAGAAAGTCAAACACCGACTGACTGCTCACATCCCAAGAGGAGAGGAAGAGCCCCCCCTTACTCTGAGCAGCAAGTATAGGAATCAGTTACAATCAGATATTTAAATATATATTCCTCTCATTATTTCATATAATGACAATAAAGTAATAATAATAATATAAATATTATATTAAAAATAATTCACAGCAGACATGACTCATATACGTTTTATTTATCTTATTGTCAGCAGGGTCAGAAGTGATGATGAAGGATATCAACAAACTCTTCATCATCAGAAACATAAAAACATTTAAATGTTCAGAAAGTTGAGCCTGAGCGGTGGTTAGGGTCAGAGGTCAGATGTCAGATGTCATCATCATGGTGGTAATGTTCAAACATGTCAAACAGACAGCAGCAGCACATGATGGCTGAACACGCCGCCAGACACGAGTCCGCCGCGCCACCGTCCTCTTCTTCCTGACGCTGCTCCACCACGAACACTGACGGAGAGAGAGAGAGAATCAATACTCAATCAATATTCAATCAATATTCAATCAATACTCAAACAATATTCACACATAATATATAAATATATAGATTAGGGCTGCGTTATTGTCACGTTAACACATTAATTAATTAACTCTGACAATTATTTTAGCTCACATTAACTTAGTTGTTTATATATAATATAACATAATATAATATAATATAATATAACATAATATAATATAACATAATATAACATAATATAATATAACATAATATAATATAACATAATATAATATAATATAACATAATATAATATAATATAACATAATATAATATAACATAATATAATATAATATAATATAACATAATATAATATAATATAATAATATAACATAATATAATATAACATAATATAATATAATATAACATAATATAATATAATATAATATAACATAATATAATATAATATAATATAACATAATATAATATAATATAATATAATAATATAACATCATATAATATAACATCATATAATATAATATAATATAACATAATATAATATAACATCATATAATATAATATAATATAATAATATAACATAATATAATATAATATAATATAACATAATATAATATAATATAACATACTATAATATACTATAATATAATATAACATAATATAATATAACATAACATAATATAATATAATATAACATAATATAATATAACATAATATACTATAATATAATATAATATAATATAACATAATATAATATAATATAATATAACATAATATAATATAATATAATAATATAACATAATATAATATAACATAATATAATATAATATAACATAATATAATATAATATAATATAATATAATATAACATAATATAATATAATATAACATAATATAATATAATATAATATAATAATATAACATCATATAATATAACATCATATAATATAATATAATATAACATAATATAATATAATATAATATAACATAATATAATATAATATAATATAACATAATATAATATAATATAACATACTATAATATACTATAATATAATATAACATAATATAATATAACATACCATAATATAATATAATATAACATAATATAATATAACATAATATACTATAATATAATATAATATAATAATATAACATAATATAATATAACATAATATAATATAATATAATAATATAACATAATATAATATAACATAATATAATATAATATAACATAATATAATATAATATAACATAATATAATATAATATAACATAATATAATATAATATAACATAATATAATATACTATAATATAATATAATATAACATAATATAATATAACATAACATAATATAATATAATATAATATAACATAATATAATATAATATAACATAATATAATATAATATAATAATATAACATAATATAATATAACATAATATAATATAATATAACATAATATAATATAATATAACATAATATAATATAATATAACATAATATAATATAATATAACATAATATAATATACTATAATATAATATAATATAACATAATATAATATAACATAACATAATATAATATAATATAATATAACATAATATAATATAATATAATATAATATAATATAACATAATATAATATAATATAACATAATATAATATAATATAACATAATATAATATAATATAATATAATAATATAACATAATATAATATAACATCATATAATATAATATAACATAACATAATATAATATAACATAATATAATATAACATAATATAATATAATATAATAATATAACATAATATAATATAATATAATATAACATAATATAATATAACATAACATAATATAATATAATATAATATAACATAATATACTATAATATAATATAATATAATTTAGTATAATAGTGTGTATGGATAAACTGTGGTATCAGATATATGTGAGTACGCCGTCCAACACTACGTCAGGTCTTCCTGTGTGTCAGGACTCTTTGACCTTTGACCCACCTGTTTGTTTTGGTTGTCCGTCCCAGTGGTGGGAGGTTCCGGGGCCCCCGCTCTGGTACCCATGATACCCGGGCTGAGTATGGTAGGGTCCCGGGTGCCCCAGCGGTCCGTGGGGTCCGTATGGTCCGTGGGGTCCGTGGTAGTGGTCCTCTCCACCTGTGTAGGACTGAGGGAAGGTCTGCAGGGGACACCGACGTGGTTGGATTCAATGAAAACTTTATTTAACACACTGAGCTTGTGTGTTTTATTACTGAGGAATATTTATGGTCCTGCTAGATTGCCATTGCCAATACTGTTGTTGCTGTGCACCTGTCTGTCTCTCTCTCTCTCTCTCTCTCTCTCTCTCTCTCACTCCAACTGGTCGAGACAGACGACCACCCACCTAGAGCCGGAGGATCTGTCCTAGGTTTCTGCCTTTTAACAGGCAGTTTTTCCTTGCCCTTGTCGCCAAGTGCTTGCTCATGGTGGTACTGTTGGGTCTCTGTAATTAATGTTAAAGAGTTCGGTCTAGACCTGCTCTATTTGAAAAGTGTCCTGAGATAACTTCTGTTATGAATTGGCGCTATACAAATAAAACTGAATTGAATTAAAGGCTGATTCCACATAATGAATGTGCAGCAGTGCATGCTGGGTACCTGGTATGGCGAGCCGGGGAAGGATGAAGGCTGAGTGGTGTAAGCTGCAGAGAGAAGAGACGATGAGGATGGACACAACCTTCATCATTTCAACATGAATGAATGTTAACAAACCTGAAGTGAAGCCGGGAGCTGAGGGGTGGGGGGGGTGGGAGGGGTGGGGTGGGTGGGGGGATGTACGGAGGAGGGTGGTCACTCATCTGGACGGACAGACGGCGGACGGACAGCGGACGGGTGGGTCAGCAGGACGGACAGAATCTGGAAGCAGAAACAGTTTCCAGAAGTATTAGTTATTAGTTATTAGTTATTAGTTATTATTATACTTTAAATAAGTGAATTGAAAGATTTACGTTGACTGACCAGGAAGCAACTGTTGACCCTCCCTAAGCCCCGCCCCCTGTTGCTCCTGTACTGAGATATGCTATGCTAGGCTAATCTATGTTGAACAGACAAACACATTTTGAAGATGATTCAAAGATAAAAGAAACTAAAATATTAGTCACATCTTAAATTAGCTAAATGCTACCGAGAGTAAATTGCCAAAAATCTGCACTAAATTTAATTAAGCTACTTGAGCTAGTTGAGCTAGTTGTAATTGACATTATTTAATTACTTTAAATAATTACATTAATATTCTCTTTGAGTTAAGCACACTCATTATTATTATTATTATTATATTATTTTTATTATTATTCGAGCTCGCTGTAAATGTTCGGTTCCAAACACAATGTGAACATTTAAAATCTCCATATGAATAATCTCCTCTTCCTTCATACCGACTGTAATCTAATCTCCTGGTTTCCATGACAACCAGCGTATAGAAACAGACTCTCTCCGTCTCAGTGCTGACTCGGCTTTTCACTGGTAAACAGACGTTTTGTTTGTTTAGAGAAAATAAAACCAGTAAACATGTTGCCAGTTGAACCAGTCTGCTCCTGTCCAATAAACTGTCCATCAATCAATCAATACTCAATAAAGTTTTAATCTACACAGGCGCTGTAACACTGTAACGCTGTACACTGTAACGGTGTAACGCTGTACACTGTAACGGTGTAACGATGTAACGCTGTACACTGTAACGATGCAATGATGTAACGATGTAATGCTGTACGCTGTAATGATGTAACGATGTAACGCTGTACACTGTAACGGTGTAACGGTGTAACGATGTAACGATGTAATGCTGTACACTGTAACACTGTAACGGTGTAAAGATGTAACAATGTAACGCTGTAACGCTGTACACTGTAACGGTGTAACGATGTAACGATGTAATGCTGTACACTGTAATGGTGTAACGATGTAACGATGTAACGCTGTAACGCTGTACACTGTAATGGTGTAACGGTGTAACGGTGTAACGATGTAACGATGTAACGCTGTACACTGTAATGGTGTAACGGTGTAACGGTGTAACGATGTAACGCTGTACACTGTAACGGTGTAACGGTGTAACGATGTAACACTGTTAAGCTGTAACGCTGTTACGCTTTAACGCTGTACACTGTAACGGTGTAAGGCTGTAATGCTGTTAAGTTGTAACGCTGTAGGTTTGCAAGTGAGTCTGAGTTCCTTTAATTATCTTCAATTCAATCTTCAGCAAACTTTCCATTAAAACATTAAAACAACATTTAGAAAACTGATAAAACACTCCATAATAATTAAAGAACCACAACAGTGAAATGGGCAGTAAGTCATGTGATGCCAGACTCTGTTCATAAATCCTGCAGTTTAATGTTTTCAGGTGCAGCAGGGAGAATTAACTGAACACTTAACATTTATGATGTTTTACAAATTCTAAGTTTCTGTTCTTTAATTCTGATCAATCACATTGATCATCACTGTGATCTTAAAGAACTGATCACTTTTACAACTTAAACTTATTTAATGACATTATATAAGCGCAGTAAAGCAGGTTGAACTTAAACAGTCGTTTGTTTAGTGGAGTCTGGTGTCTGACAGAATCTCAACTTACCTTCAACTCCTTAATGTCAGAGAGTCTCCTGGTGATCGATGAGCTGATTGATCGATGAGCTGATTGATCGATGAGCTGATTGACTGATGAGCTGATTGATCGATGAGCTGATTGACTGATGAGCTGATTGATCGATGAGCTGATTGATCGATAAGTGCAAGGAAACAGCTGCAGCAGCACAAGGACAGGGTGAGGTCTGAGGCAGCCTCCCAACCTTCAGCTCATCCTCCTCCCCCTGTCTCACCCTCCTCCCCCTGTCTCACCCTCCTCCCCCTGTCTCACCCTCCTCCCCATCTCACCTCTTTCTCTCCCTCATGTTCCTGTTGAAAAATAACTTTATTGATCGATTAATAGTTTCTTATTGATCGGTTGAAGGATGGATGCGTTATTGATCATTTAAAGGTTAACGATGAATGATTTCTTTATTATTAGTGATGTTAGCTTAGCTAGCAGTATGTCTACGTTAGCAAGCAAGCTAAAGTTAGCTAACCAAGCAATGCTACATAATGCTAATGTAGCATTAGCTTTACTAGCCATCTCATCATCGTGTTATTAATTGTTTACAAACAACAACAGAATGTTTATTTGTTTATTTCTAAGTTCATTTGTACATGACATCATTGGTTTGTCTTTACTGCAGATATACACAGACCCTCTCGCTCATATTTCCTACTGACATTGAACACACCACTAAAGCTTCTATCTACAGGTGCTTCAGCCAATCAGGAGGCAGCTCGCAGTCCGTTAAATATGTTTAATATAAGTTATATATGTGAGCTCCAGCTCTACATTCAGCTATCACACATGCTCTAACTGTCACAGTCCAACTGCTGTTGACTTTAGATTAATGTTTGTTTGTTTGTTTGTTTGTGGTGTGTTTACTGACCGGGTCATGAGGCATTTAAGTGCAGCAGGTCACATACTGTCGGACTGGATCTTCAACTCTTTGTTTCTCTTTTTATCGTTTGTTATCTTATTCAGTTCATTCAGTCGTATCGCTCAGATCCTCTGAGGAACTTCCTGTTTCTACCCACAGAGGTCTCCTCCTCTCCAACACAAACAGACCCGCTGATTAAAACCACTAAACACACTGAATAAAGCAGTTCCACCTTAACAATCACTGCTTCTCCCACGCTGTTGGACAGACAAAGGACGTCCCGGAGGGGCTGCGAGCCGAGCTGCTGCTAACGTTAGCTCAGCTTGTTTCTCTGATAACTTAAGATCCAGACGTCCGATGACTAAAATCCTTCATCCGGTTCAAATCTAGAGTTAAAAAGCACCAAGATCTAAACAGTGGATTGTGGATGGACACAGTGACGGCTCTGTTCTGCCCCCCGGTGGTCAGACTCACTCACTGCAGCGTCTGAGCTCTACGTTCTTTAAAGGAGAAATTTAAGGAATCATAATCAATAACTGTCACAGAACAGTGGAGGGAAAGTATCACAGGGTTGATTCTATCGAGGTTATTGATTAAGTGAAGACTATGGAAGCCCATTTCTGCCAACTTAATAATAATAATATTAAATGGTAAGTGTAAATTGAATGTATTGGCAGAAGTGGGCCTCCGTAGAGCACAGCTGACCTCAAAGGATAAAATCTAATGATTATTGATTATTTCCTTTGTGTCAATATATATATTCAAACATTAATTATGACCTCATTATCCTGAGACGTATAATAATCATCGTTTATATTTCAGGCAGCTTCTCTTTTAGTTTTGGGTAAAATGATCCTCCGTAGCTCCGCTGGTCTGAGTCCAGGATCATGGATGTGGACCGAGACGGGTCGGTCTGATCGGGTCCAGTCGTTGTTCAACAGGTGATACAATCAGGTGTTTTTCTGGTCCAAATAACAGGCGACTGCGGTCTCTGGTCGCTGGTGATGGAGTCAGCCGGTCGGACCACCAGAGCCGTGCAGCCAATCACGTGTCGGTGTAGAGAACGCCGTCGTGGTCTTGGCGAACACATTTCAGTCCTGGAGGGTGGCTGCTGTCTCTGGTGGCCCCGCCCCGTCATTAGGAGGTGGCGGCCTGTTTGTTCCGGAAGGTTTCGAAGAAGGCCATCATCCCCTTCCTCACGTTGCTGCCGTTGCCCTTGGTGATCCTCGGCACCATCATAGCGCCGCCGCTGCTGCCATGGTGACGGGATGTGAGAGGAGGGAAAGCGGCGCCGTCCATGGAGTTGGCCCGTTTGACCTTCGACGGGTTCACACGCCATGACTTTGTCCTCGGAGGAGGAGTCTGAGCCACCAGACACTTCTGATACTGGACCTGAGCGAGGGAAACACAGGAAGTAAAGTCACATTACAACAACTTAAGATGTGACTTTATATATTTGTCTCTTTTATCTTTTCACCATCTTCATATTGTGGTTGCCTTTCCAACATAGATTAGCCTAGCTTAGCATATCTAAGGACAGGAGGACGTTGCTAAACTGTGATTGGAGCACAGAGTGGAAAGGGGCGGGGCTTAGTAAAGGTACATTCTCCACTTGGATTAGCTGCAGAGAATTTCTCCCTTAAAGGATCTTAATATTTAATATTTAATATTTTAATTAAAAGATGTAGATAATTCAATGTATACATAATATAATATGTTACTGTATTATATCCACAAACAAACCTGTCTGACTTCCCTCCAGGTGCTGTTAAACGAGTGTACCTGTGGCGTCCAGGTGTGCTACTCACCATACACGCAGCCTGGACTGCCTCAGACAGGTTTCCTGCGTCCGGCTCGCACCAGAACACGTGACACTCGAACCGCTGCGTGCCGCCATCAACGATCACAGCGAAGGTGTGACTGTCGTGGCCGACGCCCAGAAAGGTGAGGAAACGTACCTGACACTCCCAGAAAGGCTCCTCCCCTTCCTGTCGGGATCCAATCAGAAGACAGACACAGAGTGAGCGGTGGCGACCTTGCTGACGATGTTGATGACGATGTTGATGATGATGATGATGATGTTGATGATGATGATGATGTTGATGATGATGTTGATGATGATGATGATGATGATGATGGCGTTACCTGTCCCTTCCACAGAGACATAACGTTGTCGGTGATGTGGATGACGGTCGGCTCCCACTCGTCTCTGTCGGTGGAGTTCATGATGCTCTCGATGGCGCGATTCAACACCTCCATACCTGCAGCACACACACACCTGGTGGTTACCATGGTAACAGCAGGTGTGTTTTAATGCTACGCATTATAATTAATAACGTTATAAAGCAATTAGTGTAAAACTTACTGACTCTACTGGTAATAATTATTATTATTATTATTATTTATTAATTTGTTAATACTGAGGGCTTCAGCCAATCACAGCGCTGCGTGTCAGCAGGTGAGTCCTACCCATGGCTCTGGACACCGGCAGGTTTCCGATGTACTGGACCTGGAACTTCTGGACCTGCTGCCGGACCGCCTCCAGAAACTCCACTGAAACACAACAAACACGGAGCCGTCAGCAGAGGACCAATCAGAGAGCGGCTGCTGATGTCAGAGAACAGGTGAGTCACCTTGTCTAGGCAGGTCTTCAGGTGAGATACTCTCCATCGTCAGAGAGCGCGACGGCCTCATCAGCGTCTTCTCCGACAACATCTACGGACAGACGGCAGACGTTAGACCTCCGGAAGGTTCCTGACTGATGCTATGCTACGAGCCAGAGAGCTAACGTTAGGCTAAGCTATATATCTAGCCACGTTAGCGTTAGCACCCACTGACCTTAGAGCACATCTCGTGCAGCGCCGCGGCGATGGCTTTAGCTGGAGCGTCACAGCGGAACACGTGACACTTCAGCACGCAGCTGTCCTTATCACCCGCCACGAAGGCAAAGTCCCTGAACGCAACACACACACACACACACACAGAGACACACAGAGACACACACACACACACAGACACACACACACACACACACACACACACACACACACACACACACACACACACACACACACACACACACACACACACACACACACACACACACACACACACACACACACACACACACACACACACACACACACACACACACACACACACACACACACACACACACACACACACACACACACACACACACACACACACACACACACACACACACACACACACACACACACACACACACAGACACACACACAGACACACACACACACACACACACACACAGACACACACACACACACACACACACACACACACACACACACAGACACACACACACAGACACACACACACACACACACACACAGACACACACACACACACACACACACACACACACACACAGACACACACACACACACACACACACAGACACACACACACACACACACACAGACACACACACACACACACACACACACACACACACACACACACACACACACACACACACACACACACACACACACACACACACAGACACACACACAGACACACACACACACACACACACACACACACACACACACACACACACACACACACACACACACACACACACACACACACACACACACACACACACACACACACACACACACACACTCTGGTCATGCTGTTGTGGACAGGTGATCATGTGATCAGCAGGTGAGATCAATAATCGGCCCTAACATAGACAGGAGGTTGTGAGTGCGGCGGGTTTACCTGTCCCTGCCCAGGTGGAGGTGTGGGGGGGGGCGTGTTAAAGAAACAGAGAGAGTCACAGTGTTAGCGCAAACACATCAAACCACGAGTGAGTGCTGTCGTTGTTTAGCCTAGCTTAGCACAAAGGCTGGAAGCAAGGGGAACTGTTAGCCTAGCTTAGCACAAAGGCTGGAAGCAGGGGGAACTGTTAGCCTAGCTTAGCACAAAGGCTGGAAGCAGGGGGAACTGTTAGCCTAGCTTAGCACAAAGGCTGGAAGCAGGGGGAACTGTTAGCCTAGCTTAGCACAAAGGCTGGAAGCAGGGGGAACTGTTAGCCTAGCTTAGCACAAAGGCTGGAAGCAGGGGGAACTGTTAGCCTAGCTTAGCACAAAGGCTGGAAGCAAGGGGAACTGTTAGCCTAGCTTAGCACAAAGGCTGGAAGCAGGGGGAACTGTTAGCCTAGCTTAGCACAAAGGCTGGAAGCAGGGGAAACTGTTAGCCTAGCTTAGCACAAAGGCTGGAAGCAGGGGAAACTGTTAGCCTAGCTTAGCACAAAGGCTGGAAGCAGGGGAAACTGTTAGCCTAGCTACGTACACAAACAAGTCTGACAGACAGGAAACAGAGCTAACCGTAGCTATCGCTAACTAGCTGGTTAGTTACCGACAGAACAAAACACTTGCTAACTAGCTACTTCTGAAAGCTAAGGTTAGCAAAATTATAAGTTTTTATTGATAGACAGGAGAGGGGAGAGAGAGACAGGAGAGGGGAGAGAGAGACAGGAGAGGGAGAGAGAGACAGGAGAGGGGAGAGAGAGACAGGAGAGGGGAGAGAGAGACAGGAGAGGGGAGAGAGAGACAGGAGAGGGGAGAGAGAGACAGGAGAGGGGAGAGAGAGACAGGAGAGGGGACAGAGAGAGACAGGAGAGGGGACAGAGAGACAGGAGAGGGAGAGAGAGAGACAGGAGAGGGGACAGAGAGAGACAGGAGAGGGGAGAGAGAGACAGGAGAGAGGGAGAGAGAGACAGGATAGGGGAGAGAGAGACAGGAGAGGGGAGAGAGAGACAGGAGAGGGGACAGAGAGAGACAGGAGAGGGGACAGAGAGACAGGAGAGGAGAGAGAGAGACAGGAGAGGGGACAGAGAGACAGGAGAGGGGAGAGAGAGACAGGAGAGGGGAGAGAGAGACAGGATAGGGGAGAGAGAGACAGGAGAGGGGAGAGAGAGACAGGAGAGGGGACAGAGAGACAGGAGAGGGGAGAGAGAGACAGGAGAGGAGAGAGAGAGACAGGAGAGGGGACAGAGAGACAGGAGAGGGGACAGAGAGACAGGAGAGGAGAGAGAGAGACAGGAGAGGGGACAGAGAGACAGGAGAGGAGAGAGAGAGACAGGAGAGGGGACAGAGAGACAGGAGAGGGGACAGAGAGACAGGAGAGGGAGAGAGAGAGACAGGAGAGGGGACAGAGAGACAGGAGAGGGGAGAGAGAGAGAGACAGGAGAGGGGACAGAGAGACAGGAGGGAGGAGAGAGAGAGAGACAGAAGAGGGGGAGAGAGAGACAGGAGAGGAGAGAGAGAGACAGGAGAGGGGAGAGAGAGAGACAGGAGAGGGGGACAGAGAGACAGGAGAGGGGACAGAGAGACAGGAGAGGAGAGAGAGAGACAGGAGAGGGGACAGAGAGACAGGAGAGGGGAGAGAGAGAGACAGGAGAGGGGACAGAGAGACAGGAGAGGAGAGAGAGAGAGACAGAAGAGGGGAGAGAGAGACAGGAGAGGGGAGAGAGAGACAGGAGAGGAGAGAGAGAGACAGGAGAGGGGACAGAGAGACAGGAGAGGGGACAGAGAGACAGGAGAGGGGACAGAGAGAGACAGGAGAGGGGACAGAGAGACAGGAGAGGAGAGAGAGAGACAGGAGAGGGGAGAGAGAGACAGGAGAGGGGACAGAGAGAGACAGGAGAGGGGACAGAGAGACAGGATGCAAGCAGCAAAGAGACGCAGGTCGGACTCAAACCCACAACCGCTGGAGCAGAGACGCTACCAGGTGAGCTAGCAGGTGAGCTAGCAGAACAACTATATATTAGTGTAATGTTTTAAATGATTAATGACATCACAGATCAGTCTGCTCTCTGATTGGCTCACCTGCCGTTGTTGCAGCCCACCCCCCAGACACGAATGTTGATGATTGGCTGACAGTGCAGGGGGGTGTGGTCTAAAGGGTCCAACAGGGACAGAGTGTCTTTCTTCAGGACCAGCATCATCTCCCTCCCCTGCAGACAGACAGGTAGACAGTGAGACACACAGACAGACAGACAATGAGACACACAGACAGACAGACTAATTCTGGGTCAGTTTGTGCTGAATTCAGACAGACAGGTTTGGAGGATGTCTCACCTCCCCCCAGGCCCCTGGCCTGTCTCTCTGCTCAGGGCTGCTGCAGTGAGTTAGCTGCTGGATGACATTACTGACAGCGAGACTGCTGCGACCGGGAGACAGGTCCTCCTCCTCCACTTCCAACCAGCCCAGAGACCTGACAGCAAAGCACTGACAGACAGACAGGTAGGGAGGGAGACGGACAGACAGACAGACAGACAGACAGACAGACAGACAGACAGATTACTGTAATCCTTCCAGTAAAAGCAGGGTCTCTAATAGACGCAGGTCTCTTTTAAAAGCCTGGTGTGGCTACACGTTTTGATAAATAAACGCAGGTCTCCATTATTTATAGAAATTATCTCAATGTATAAAACCTCTTAAAACCCACCGGGTCGCCTGCTTGAGCGAGTTTTAAGTGTTCTCAATCTCGTACACAAATATTAATGTTTACACTTCAGTTATCGATTCTCCACAATTCAATCGTTCACTATATTTTACGAAAACTATCAACACTGAAGTAAAAAACCTCTGAAGCATCATAATCATCATGTTAGTTGTCAAATTTGCTGAACAAAATCTCAACAGAAGCAGCAGTTAGAGTTTAGTTTGGTGCTAAAGGAATTAAAGGCCTGTCCCAAATAGAGGCCTGTCCCCAATAAAGGCAGGGGGAGTTCAGTGATTTAAGCAAATAAACGCCCGGGCTATTATTAAAAGTTTTACAGTATTATTGCTAAATATACTTTCTTCTTCTTCTTCTTCTTCTTCTTCTTATTATTATTATTGTTGTTACCTTGGAGTTGGGGTCGTAGTTGGTGAGAAAATCTTCATGCCACGAAGACCTTAGAGAGAAAACACACTTTATTCATCCAGTGTGTGTGTATGTGTGTGTGTGTGTGTGTGTGTGTGTGTGGGGGGGTCTCAGGTGGTCTGTGTGTGTTACCTGGTCTCAGGTGGTCTGTCTGTCTCTCTGTTGGAGCTCTGCTGTCCACCCTCCTCCTGCTGAGATACAACACCACAGAAGAAGACATCATACCATTGACTCATGACAGTAAATAATAACTGGGTTAATGTAGACTGGGTCAATGTAGACTGGGTTCAAAAGTGGACTGGGTTAATGTAGACTGGGTTAAAGTGGACTGGGTTGAAGTGGACTGGGTTAATGTAGACTGGGTCAAAGTGGACTGGGTTAAAGTGGACTTGGTTAATGTAGAGTGGGTTAAAGTGGACTGGGTCAAAGTGGACTGGGTTAATGTAGACTGGGTCAAAGTGGACTGGGTCAAAGTGGACTGGGTTAATGTTGTGTCAACTCAGGGTTAAAAGTTGTACTGAGCACTCCAGCCTAGATTCACCCAGGAGCACTCCCAACCTGCAGGGGACAACCATGCAACAGAGTTGGTGGAACTAACTTCTCAGGAAGTGCTCTTGGGACCATATTCACCTGCGCACCCAGAGGGAGTGCATGGCATTTGAAATGTTTGGTAAAAGCTCAGTTGGCCCTCTCACCCATTCCTGAAGAGGTACTATGACCACAGCTCCTGATCATCTAGAGACGCAACTGGTAGGACAGAATTTGGTTGAATGTGTTGAGGTCATGCTTATGACTATATGACTTTTGCTTGGTGAAATGTGCAATTTAAGTTAAATAGTTGAAAACTTTACTATGTTAACAGATCTTGGAAGAAGTAATGTTACACAAAGCATGTATATTGTTTAATTATTATATAGGTTTAATTGTGGGATTTGTACTTTAATTATTAACTAGTAGAGATCCTAGGTTAATCTAAATTACTTTGTTTGGTTTGGTTTTGAGGATTCAGTAACATTAATTTATTATTATTTGAGAAAGTGATTTATTTGTAACTAATTAATGTATTTTGTTTGTATCTTAAAGGTTATCAACCTATTCTGCTCCATCCCAATTTATCAAACCATCTTCAAGAAAATAAAAAACCAAAAAGTGAACAGATTTGAGTTGTCCTTTGCGTCCATCAGAGATCAAGCAGTTTTTCAAGTTTGGGCAGTGCTGTGGTCAATCACAAAACACACAGAACTTGACAGTTAATGTAGACTGGGTCAAAGTGGACTGGGTCAAAGTGGACTGGGTCAAAGTGGACTGGGTCAAAGTGGACTGGGTCAAAGTGGACTGGGTCAAAGTGGACTGGGTTAATGTAGACGTGGTTAAACTGGTTTAAGTAGCAATGACTTCATGAGCTTCTTTTATAATAAAATTATTACTATTAGAGAGAAAATAATCACCAACTGCCATCAACAGTTATCAGTGGCTCTCAAAGTTCAGGGACTTTATCTAATGTAAACTTAGATATATATTTAGACTGTTTTTCTTCTATCGATCTTCATCAGTTAACTTCCAAAGTTTCTACAACGAAGCCATCAACCTGTCTATTGGACCCGATCCCAACTAGGCTGCTTAAAGAAGTTGTTCCCTTAATTGGCACTTCTTTACTGGATATGATTAATCTTTCTTTATTATCAGGATATGTACCACAGTCCTTTTAAAGTAGCTGTAATTAAACCCCTTCTTAAAAAGCCCACTCTTGACCCAGGGGTTTTAGCCAACTATAGACCAATCTCTAACCTCCCCTTCCTCTCTAAGATTCTGGAGAAAGTAGTCGCCAAAGAGTTGTGACTTTCTGCATAACAATAGTTTATTTGAGGATTTTCAGTCAGGATTTAGAGTTCATCACAGCACAGAGAAAGCTCTGGTTAAAGTTAATAATGACCTTCTGACTGCTTCTGACAATGGACTTGTCTCTGTACTTGTATTATTAGATCTTAGTGCTGCATTTGACACCATTGACCATAATATTCTTTTACAGAGACTTGAGCATCAAATTGGCATTAAAGGAACCGCACTAAGCTGGTTTAAGTCATATTTATCAGATCGCTCGCAGTTTGTACATGTTAACGATGAATCTTCAATAAATACTACAGATAGTCATGGAGTTCCACAAGGTTCTGTACTTGGACCAATACTATTTACTTTATATATGCTCCCTTTAGGCAACATTATTAGGAATCACTCCATTAACTTTCACTGTTATGCAGATGATACGCAGTTATATCTATCAATCAAGCCCGATGAAATTAATCAATTATCTAAATTAACACGTGTCTTAAGGACATAAAATCCTGGATGACCTGCAATTTTCAGATGTTAAACTCAGAAAAAAATGAAATTCTTGTATCTTAGAGACTCACTGTCTAAAGATATAGTTACTCTAGATGGCATTACCTTGGCCTCTAGCACCACTGTCAGGAATCTTGGAGTTATCTTTGATCAGGATTTGTCATTTAACTCCCACATAAAGACCTCTAGGACCGCCTTCTTTCATTTACGTAATATTACAAAAATTAGACACATCCTATCACATACAGATGCAGAAAAACTAATCCATGCATTTGTTACTTCAAGGCTGGATTACTGCAACTCTTTATTATCAGGTTGCCCCAATAAGTCCATTAAAACGCTCCAATTAATTCGGAACGCTGCAGCACGAGTACTGACAGGAACTAGAAAAAGAGATCACATCTCTCCTGTACTAGCTACTCTGCACTGGCTCCCTGTAAAATGTAGAATAGAATTTAAAGACGGTCTGACCTGAGCCTCCAGCGGCGGTGGCGTCCCACTGAGGCGGGGGTGTTGCCACTGGGTGGCCCCGGTGGGAACGTGCCAGTAGTAGGTTCCTGTGGAGTCTTTGATGGTCCTCCAGCCGGAGGGAAGGTCCGGATCCAGCAGCAGGTTCTGGTCTGTCCAGATGTTGTCTGCACCGGCACATGAACAACATGAAGCTAACTCGTGCTAGCACCCCCCACAGGCCGCCGATGGTTACATGTTGATCAAACTGTCAATGGATGCTATCATAGCTTGTTAGCTGCGTGTCACCATCCTCTTTATACCTTTATAACTGCAACACAGCTAGCTGGCTGCTAACATTATGCCTAGCAAAATACTATCTGATTTGACAGACAGTTAGCTTCTCCAGCTAAGATGATCCATTATTTATTCTAACGGTTGATTTTAGCCAACAATGAACTATGCTAACAGTACAAAGCTGATGATAGCTTTCCACTAGCCAAGAGTGATGTAATGTTAACAGGAGCTGCTAACAACTAATCAATAATAATGATGATATAACGGTATGAAGGCGTATTGCAGCCATTTTTGCTAAATTAGCTTGCTAGCAATTTCTCCATGTTAGCAAGCAAGCTAATGCTAAATAACAGCCAGCTAAAAGCACAATATGACCACGTATTTGCAGTGATGTTAGCTTTGTGGGTGTTTCTCTCTCTGAATGAAATATATAAATCGTTATGTTGGCTATCACGAACACTTCCTCACACAATTTCATTAAAAATAAATATATAAAACATCACGACTGTTTGTCATAAAGCAGTGTATGATGGGATTTATGTGACTGTTGTTATGGACCGGTACATTAAGGGTATGGGGACCTGAGCAGAGGTCAAACTGCTGGACAGGAAGACAGAAACTGAATAATTAATGAAGCTCAGAGACACCAAACGCTGAATCAGCTGATTGAGAGACACCGATACGACCGGAGGAGGAACGATCAATACAACAGGAAGAACTACAGTCAGCAGTTTGTTGCACTCATTCAGAACAAGTTTAAAGGGTTGGAACGTAATCGACTGATGTTTGAACTCATGGACTGAAGGTCTTTATTTAGTGTTTGAACGTGACTGAAGCGCTGCTTCCTAACTGAGCTCTTCGATCACTGAGCAAACTGATATTTCACATTATATTCACTATAATATATATAACGATATATATATCGTTATATATAACAATAACTGCATTTACTACAGTTCTGACTCAAACTGAAGTATTTTATCTTGTTTGTAAGTTCAGTCTCACTCAGTCTGAGAGAAACAACCTTGTAAAAATGTCAGTAACTCCAGAATCCAACCACGGTAAGTGCAGTCACTGCGCTCTCCCTCGCTGTCACTGCACTCTCCCTCGCTGTCACTGCGCTCTCCTTCGCTGTCACCGCGCTCTCCCTCGCAGTCACTGCGCTCTCCCTCGCTGTCACTGCGCTCTCCTTCGCTGTCACTGCGCTCTCCCTCGCTGTTTCTGAGCTTCGGCTGCAGTTGCTGTCTGTAAATCCTGAATTCCAGACAATCTCAGGACAATGTAGGAATTAAAATAGAGGGAATCTTCATGTAGCTAACCAGCTAACTAATCTATAGAACCAGCTAACTAATCTACAGCACTCGTCATTAGCTAACTTAAGGTGTGACTATATATATGTAGCCAGTTAGCTAGCACTTTGCTAACACTAGCTAACAAGGTGTGAATATATAAACCATCCTGTGTAAAATCAGAGCAGCTTTTTGTCTTCCTTTAGCCAGAATAGGTAAAAGTTATGATATACAATAATAATGATAAAGAATAGGGAACAATTCATTGTTTTGCAGTTTATTCCTCAGAAATAAAAAATGGATGCTTCAGTTTGAAATAGAGAATATATTTTGTAGGGAGTTCTTACGTATTCACTTTGCACACAAAGAATGAGCAACAGAAACCTGTGTAACTGTTCTCACACAGATCTTCATCAGGAATAAGACTAGAGGTAAAGTCAGGGACCGGCCCTAAACTCTGACTCAATGACAAACATTCTCTACATTTATGATGACCTTTCCTTCTTTACTGGGATCTACATTGTACACTGGGGTTTACTGCAGGAAAGGTATTGTATATTGTATATTTTATATTATTGTATATTTTATATTTTATTGTCAATCCTTTTTTTTTTATCTTTTTAGTATTAGGAATATGTCTTGTCTGTTGTGCCTGTGCACTTTATCTGTTTCACCGTGGGAGAGTGAGAAACGTCCTCTCGATTACTTTATATGTCTGGTGCATGTGAAGTAATTGACAATAAAGCTGACTTTGACTTTGAAGAGCTTTTTATCAGTTTTATCAGAGAAAAACGTGTAAAATGTTGTCATAAATGCGTTTATCTTTTAGTTTGACCTCATTATAGGACAGACTTTCTCTCAGCGACCGATAACATGTTTGTGAGTCAGTCATACTGTGAGTTGTACTGAGTTTGTTGTGGAGCAGAAAGCAGCTCTTTGTTGGTATAAAGCACATAAAGCAGATAATCCTGATTGCAGGTCAGAGGTCAGTGTCAGTGAATCAGGCGGTTGAGCTAACAGCTGATGGAGGATCAGTTTATAAACTGCTGCTGTCACTGTGACCTCGTTCACACACAGTTTGTCCTTCTCGTGTCCCACAATCCCTCCTGATACAGCGCCGCCATACTGCCTGTGACTTCCTGTACGTCTATCTCAGTGAGGTCACTAAACCCCGCCCCCTTTAGTTACTGTTGTTAATCTGTGTGTTTTCCTCCAATCACACAGCAGCTCACGGGGGGAACGATTCGCCGACAGAACAAAGAGCGAGTCCACGATGTCAGCCGGAGATGCTTCAGTGAAAGCTGCTTCTCTCACAATGAATTATGGGAAAAGTCTTTTAGGGTCAGTGTGCATCACGTTAAGGACGCCATCGCTGTAATTACACAGTTTGGCCACTATGTCAAAGCCCGGCGCTCTTTAGGCAACTTCCTGATCACTACATCATCTTATCTCTGTTGCAGTTAGCGGCTCGGCCAGCAGAGGTCGTCCAATGAAACGCTTTCTCTATTAGGACGCCGCTGGAGTGTTTCTGAGCTGATTACAGTACAAAAGACTTTATAACAAGCTTTCAAAGCTCTGCTTTCTAACTGTATTCAGTGATTCTGGTGAAACTGGATCAGATTTTATGGAGGGAATATTTCCTGGTTTTCCCTCTGACGTCCTCCGGCTGCTCAGCTTCAACTCTCTGTGATTTACAGAGTTCCCTGATGGACAGATATGCTGCTATCCATTTGTCTCGTAAATCCCCCGCCTGAGTTTCTCTGACGCGAGAATGTGACATAATTGCCTGTCTTGTACCACTTATAGAGATCCATTTGTCTTTGGGCGTTACGAGTCAGAAAGAACATGGACGCCACCAGTGCAGCAGCTGTGTTGTTATTGATTGTGGATCATCTAAACAAGCTCAATGTGAAATAATAATAATGTTTTTCTACAGAAACACTAACATTTCAAGTAATTCCGTTATTGCAAGTCTTACAGTTCAATAATATTTTGCCATTTTCGCCTATTTCAGTTTCAACAAGTGCTGTGGCGTTTGTCTCGAGCCACCAGGGGCCTCCAGGGGCCACCGGGGGCCTTCAGGGGCCACCAGGAGCCACCAGGGGCCCCCAGGGGCCTCCAGGAGCTACCAGGGGCCTCCAGGAGCCACCAGGGGCTTCTAGGGGCCACCGGGGGCCTTCAGGGGCCACCAGGGGCCACCAGGAGTCACCAGGAGCCACCAGTGGTAGGCTAGTATTATTGTTAGCTACATTAGCCTATTTAGCAAACCAGCTTGAAAATAAAAGTTTACATTGTGTTGAACTCACAGTAACACCGAGACTAAAGCAGCAATGTAAACAGTGTAGGAGCATTTAAAGTCGACCAGCGTAGAACAAATACAAAGAACATACAGCTCAATACGGGCACAGCCATCTTTGTTTTGCGAGTCGAACGTTCGTCCCCGTTCAGCTCGGTGAACTCTGAGGAGCCCCGAGTGGGACGGCTGATATTACGACCAAAAGGGGGCGTGTCTCGGTGAAATGTGGCGAGATAGCTGCGAGATTTACACGTTCCAACTCGGCCGGGAGTAACGAGGCAAATGGATAGCACCAATAGCTTTAGCTAAAGTAGCTAACCGCTAACTAGCTGCTGCTATCTGTATCTGCCGTAAGGGGGGGAGGTAGGGCGGACCGGGTTCAGCAGCCGGCCGGTCTCAGAGATTGTGGTCGGTCCCGGGTCGGTCCGGGTCGGTCCCGGGTCGGTCCCGGGTCCGGCTGCGTTCACTGGAAGGTAGACGCTGAGGCTAGCTCATAGCGCTAGCTGCTATTGGCTGCTCTAAACGTCAATCAATACCTGCTCTATAGCTTCCTGTTGTTGTTGTTGTTTACATTAGAGCAGATAAACAAATAAACAAACAACCAGCAGCTGGACACCTGCTGGTTGTTTGGGGGAGGGGCTAACCAGGTGACAGGTGGTGATCACATGATGTCCCAGTTTCACGTCTGCAGATGTCCTCATAAACCTCACAGTGTGTGTGTGTGTGTGTGTGTGTGTGTGTGTGTGTGTGTGAGTGTGTGTGAGTGTGTGTGTGTGTGTGTGTGTGTGTGTGTGTGTGTGAGTGTGTGTGTGTGTGTGTGTGTGTGACTGAGTGTGTGTGTGTGTGTGTGAGTGTGTGTGTGTGACTGAGTGTGTGTGTGTGTGTGTGAGTGTGTGTGTGTGTGTGTGTGTGTGTGTGAGTGTGTGTGAGTGTGTGTGTGTGTGTGTGAGTGTGTGTGTGTGTGTGTGTGTGTGAGTGTGTGTGAGTGTGTGTGAGTGTGTGTGTGTGTGTGTGTGTGTGTGTGTGTGTGTGTGTGTGTGTGTGTGTGTGTGTGTGTGTGTGTGTGTGTGTGTGTGTGTGTGTGTGTGTGTGTGTGTGTGTGTGTGTGTGTGTGTGTGTGTGTGTGTGTGTGTGTGTGTGTGTGTGTGTGTGTGTGTCTGAGTGTGTGTGTGTGTGTGTGTGTGTGTGTGTGTGTGTGTGTGTGTGTGAGTGTGTGTGTGTGTGTGTGTGTGTGTGTGTGTGTGTGTGTCTCACCGTCATAGTTGACTATGAGGATCGCCAACATGTAATCTTTGCCCATCATGGCTCCGCCTTCCAGCATGTGTGGTCCAATCAGCTGAACTCTCTCACACACACACACACACACACACACACACACACACACACACTCACACACACACACACACACACACACACACACACACAGGCCTGATGACAGATGTTAAAGCCTCCTCGTGCTGCCTGTCTCTCTCTCTCTCTCAGTCTGTCTGTCTGTCTGGGTGTCTCTCGTCCCTCCGTCCGTCCCTCTCTCAGACGACACCATCAGTCTTCTTCTTCTTTGTTTTATTTCCGTCCCGGCGTCCTCTCTCTCTCTCTCTCTCTGTCTCTCTGTTCTCGTTCGACCCTCCTCTCTCTTGCTCGTCCTCTCTCTCTCCTCTGTCTGATGAAGGATGCTGTTTTCCTCCTCTGCCTCCCTCTCCCCCTCCCTCCCTCTCTCCGTCTCTCTCTCCTCCCCCTGCTGATGTCATCACTCCCCTCCCTCTCTGACTCTCAGCCTCGCTCGACCTTCACTGTAAAAAATGACATTAAAGTCCACAAACATGCAAACAACAACAACAACAACAACAACAACAATAACAATAATAAAGACTATCAGTATGAGCGCAGACAGGTGATGTCACAGTGTACTGGAGTACAGCTGTGTGAGTTTCTCCAGCTGTTACACTGACTGATCACCAGTAGCATCAGTAGCATCAGTATCAATAATCAGCTGTATTGACGATATCTCAGCAGCTGATTGGCTGATTGGGACAATAAAGGAGGTTTGGGGTTTATTGAATCTATTTCTGATATTTGTTAGATATATAATGGACGTTTAGACAGGAAGTGGAAATATATCAGCTCCCAGTGTGATTCACTGTGAGGTTATTGATATGATCAATATATTTTACAATCAATACAGCTCAGAGTCTGTCTGTCCCTGTCAGGAGGAAGTGAACCCTCTCGGAGAATGACGTCCTTTTAGAAAGTGTCTGACCTGTGTGGACGTCAGGAGGAATATAATAACACTGTCAGTGTAAATATATTATTATTATTATTATTATTATTATTATTATTATTATTATTATATTTCACTCCCACCTCTTCAGAAAGGATGTTTTTAATTCAACCTTCAGTTACTGACAGGAAGTAACAACTAAATACATATTTATTAAATATTATTACATGTTATGTTATATATAATCATAATAATAATAATAATAATAATAAAGATGTTTTTACCTGCAGAGGTCAGATTACTGCTGAGTGACGTCACATAGGTAGGACACAAAGGCCACGTGTCCCGGAACAGTTTTGAGCGCAGGAAGCTCGTGAAGCTCAAACATTACAGGAAGTCAGACCAGTACTCCTCCAAAGTAAAAGCTTGAAACTGTGGCGAATGCAACCATTGTTTATTAATTCATCAAATGATACTTAAAACTAAAGATATATATAAATACATATATTTATATGCATGAAACTGAATATGTGCTATAGCAATATTAGAAATATAATATTGAATATAAAGCAATAAACACATATTCAATATTAAAATTATAATAAAAGTGAATTTAAAAGCCAACTAGTCTTATTTTGAAATTCTGAGCGGAATCTCTTTTGTTTAATTAAGTGCGCTTGACCCGGATGTAACTGATTGAACTAACGTTAATATTCACAGAGGGACTTTTATTCTAATCTTTAATTTAATTTTACTTTAAACGTTTAATGTTGTTTCAACTCTTCCGGTTAGCTTAGCCGTTAGCTTAGCTTCCTACAGAGGAAGAAGAAGCAGTTCTTTGACACGGTCCAACATGGAGGACATGTACATTAAACCAGGTAAGAGTCCCTCTGACACTGATCAATAAAGTTAATATATTGAATATATAAAGATAATATTGTGAATAAAGTATTGAGTTAGCAGCTAACGGCTAGCTCGGTACTTGTGTTGCTGTGTTACCTGAAATGTGAGAATTGTCGGAACGTTCAACGAACTTCATTAAGAAATCTGCTAATTTAACGTTCTCTTCAGCCTCCGGACAATAATTAGTCACTGTTTAAACATCTTAGAGGACTTTACGGTTGAGTTGGATCTTCCTTTTAGTTCGGCACAGAAACTAATCCCCGACCAGAAATGAATCGGGTAAAACTGGAAGGTTTATTAGTGGTCGTACTGTTGTTTTCTCACTGCAGATTAACTCGACGTTAAATAGAATGTTAGTGGTTTTGTTAATGATATCTGGCATTCTAAATAAACTCTAACGTTACATTGTAACATTTTAATGACGACTCACTGGAACAAACGGTCCTTTTTCTAAACGTCCCGAAAAGAAACAGCCCAATATTGACTGCAGTTTGGTTGGAGTCAGTCGGTGCAGCTTGTTCTTATATTGAGCTAACTGTTAGCACGAACCCTGGAATCACTGTAAAGTCATATTGACCGAACTGCATTTAAAAATCTGCTACTTTAATGTTCACCTCAGCCTCTAGACAATAATAACGAACTCTGTAAACACAAATATGTTGTTTATGAATAAATAAGATGTTCTTTTTCAGTTCGACATACAAATAATTTACCAAACAGTAATCAATAAATTAATAACTGAATAATGCTAAATTGAAGTGTTGATTTATGTTTCATGCCATTTAAAAAGCACCCAAATATAGCAAACTATTATAATCCAGTGACAGTAGTGAACCCCTGATCAATATGATCAATATGAGATAACCTGATGTATTGACCTGAAACAGTATTGATCTGTTTATGATCGATCGATAGATAGATAGATAGATATACTATGAGATACTGTTGAAGGTTGATTAATGGATCAATAATCACTAATAATTTATAAATCACTTTTTGACCCTGTCTGTCTCTCTGTTGCCTAGGTAACCAGGAGCGGGGTTGGAACGACCCTCCTCAGTTCTCATACGGCCTTCAGATGGCCCGCGGACCTCAGAGGAACCTCCTGAACAAAAGAGCGGCTCCAGCAGCAGCTTCAGGTCCGAGGACTGTTAGCATCTGTTAGCATCTGTTAGCATCTGTTGGCATCATAACCTGGTAGCTGTTAGCTTTAGCAACGACTTCATGAGCTTCTTCTATAATAAAATTATTACTATTAGAGAGAAAATTAATCACCAACTGCCATCAACAGTTATCAGTGGCTCTCCAAGTTCAGGGACTTCTGTCAATGTAAACTTAGATGTATATTTAGACTGTTTTTCTGCTATCGATCTTCATCAGTTAACTTCAATCATTTCTTCATCGAAGCCATCAACCTGTCTGTTAGACCCGATCCCAACTAGACTGCTTAAAGAAGTTGTTCCCTTAATTGGCACTTCTTTACTGGATATGATTAATCTTTCTTTATTATCAGGATATGTACCACAGTCCTTTAAAGTAGCTGTAATTAAACCCCCTTCTTAAAAAGCCCACTCTTGACCCAGGGGTTTTAGCCAACTATAGACCGATTTCTAACCTCCCCTTCCTCTCTAAGATTCTGGAGAAAGTAGTCGCCAAAGAGTTGTGTGACTAACTACATAACAATAGTTTATTTGAGGATTTTCAGTCAGGATTTAGAGTTCATCACAGCACAGAGACAGCTCTGGTTAAAGTTAATAATGACCTTCTGATTGCTTCTGACAGTGGACTTGTCTCTGTACTTGTATTATTAGATCTTAGTGCTGCATTTGACACCATTGACCATGATATTCTTTTACAGAGACTTGAGCATCAAATTGGCATTAAAGGAACCGCACTAAGCTGGTTTAAGTCATATTTATCAGATCGCTCGCAGTTTGTACATGTTAACGATGAATCTTCAATAAATACTACAGTTAGTCATGGAGTTCCACAAGGTTCTGTACTTGGACCAATACTATCTACTTTATATATGCTCCCTTTAGGCAACATTATGAGGAATCACTCCATTAACTTTCACTGTTATGCAGATGATACGCAGTTATATCTATCAATCAAGCCCAATGAAATTAATCAATTATCTAAATTACAAACATGTCTTAAGGACATAAAATCCTGGATGACCTGCAATTTTCTGATGTTAAACTCAGAAAAAACCGAAATTCTTGTTCTTGGCCCCAAAAACCTTAGAGACTCATTGTCTAAAGATATAGTCACTCTAGATGGCATTAACTTGGCCTCTAGCACCACTGTCAGGAATCTTGGAGTTATCTTTGATCAGGATTTGTCATTTAACTCCCACATAAAGCAGACCTCTAGGACTGCCTTCTTTCATTTACGTAATATTACAAAAATTAGACACATACTATCACAGACAGATGCAGAAAAACTAATCCATGCATTTGTTACTTCAAGGCTGGATTACTGCAACTCTTCATTATCAGGTTGCCCCAATAAGTCCATTAAAACGCTCCAATTAATTCAGAACGCTGCAGCACGAGTACTGACAGGATCTAGAAAAAGAGATCACATCTCTCCTGTACTAGCTTCTCTGCATTGGCTCCCTGTAAAATGTAGAATAGAATTTAAAATCCTCCTCCTCACCTATAAAGCTCTTCATGGTCAGGCCCCTTCATATCTTAAAGAGCTCATAGTACCCTATTACCCCACTAGAACACTACGTTCTCTGAATGCTGGGCTACTTGTGGTTCCTATAGTCTCTAAAAGTAGAACAGGAGCCAGAGCCTTCAGTTACCAAGCTCCTCTCCTGTGGAACCAGCTTCCAGTTGGGGTTCGGGAGGCAGACACCCTCACCACATTCAAGAGTAGGCTTAAGACATTCCTCTTTGATAAAGCTTATAGTTAGGGCTGGATCAGGTGAGTCCTGAACCATCCCTTAGTTATGCTGCTATAGGCCTAGACTATCGGGGGATTTCCCATGGTGCACTGAGCTCCTCTCTTCCTCTCTCTTTCTGCACTCATTCATGTTCCATTAATGCATGTTACTAACTTCACTTCTTCCCCGGAGTTCTTGTGCTTTCTCGTCTCGCAGGTTCTTATCGATCCTGGTGGAGCCTCCTGCCATGGTCCTGCTAGATTGCCATTGCCAATACTGTTGTTGCTGTGCACCTGTCTGTCTGTCCGTCTGTCTGTCTCTCGCGCCTCTCTCTCTCTCTCTCTCTCTGTCTCTGTCTCTGTCTCTTGTCTCTCTCTCTCTCTCTCTCTCTCTCTCTGTCTCTCTCTCTCTCTCTCTCTCACCCCAACTGGTCGAGACAGACGACCACCCACCTAGAGCCGGAGGATCTGTCCTAGGTTTCTGCCTTTTAACAGGCAGTTTTTCCTTGCCCTTGTCTCCAAGGTCTTGCTCATGGTGGTACTGTTGGGTCTCTGTAATTAATGTTTTAAAGAGTTCGGTCTAGACCTGCTCTATTTGAAAAGTGTCCTGAGATAACTTAGCGCTATCAATTCAATAAAATTGAATTGATTTGAAGTTGAATTAGCCTATATTGTTTGTTTCATGCTTCAAACATCTCCTCTCTGATTGGTCCTTAGGTGAAGGAGCTCCACCCATGACTCCTCCCTCCTCCAATCCTCTGGCTCCGCCTCCAGGTGGGGTAGCCCTGCCCCCTCTGCACCCAGGTGAGCAAGAGTCATATTATATATTACTAAAATAGGTTTAGATGTTTTAATGTTACTGCCTGTAGCTGAGCTCTTGTTTCTTCCTCGCAGCTCGTCCTCCTCCAGGCTGCGTGGCCACGCCTCCTCCTCTAGGACCAATGAGAAGCCAGAGAGAGGCCGACAGCAGCCAATCAGAGAGTGAGCCTGACGTAGACGCCGTGGTGTCGGTGTTGAACCGAGCGCTCGCTGCCTGCAGACAGACGGTTAAAGTGAGTGAAAGTCTGTCAATATCAGAATCAGAAATACTTTAATAATCCCAGTGGGAAATTATTTTTGTTACAAACTCCAGATATACAAACAACATATATTATACAAACAACATATATTAAGAACAAATATATAATATATATATATATATATATATATATATATATATATATATAAAAGATCAAATGTTCAGTTTAATAATGTGCAAAAAGTGCAAAAGATTATTGTTTGAGTCAGATTACAGAGGGGGGGTGTCTGACTCTCTGAGGGAGGCGTTATAGAGTTTAATGACCACAGGCAGGAAGGATTTCCTAATACGCCATCAATGTAATCCATAAAGAGTGTGACCTCTGACTTCTGTGTGACCTCTGACCTCTGTGTGACCTCTGACCTCTGTGTGACCTCTGACCTCTGTGTGACCTCTGACCTCTGTGTGCAGGATCAGGTGTGTAACGATGTGGCCAAGAGGCTCCACCTCCTGGAGGACAGCTGGAGGTCAGGTAGACTGAGCCTTCCTGTTCGGAGACGCATGGACAGCCTGTCGCTAGGTAACCTGTCTCACCACCACACTGTCTGTCTGTCTGTCTGAACACCTGTCTGTCTGCCTCAGTACTCACCTGTCTGTGTGTCTGTCTGTCCCTAAGAGCTGCAGACGGGTCACTGGGACTCTGCTGATGAGATCCATCGCTCTCTGATGGTCGATCATGTGACTGAGGTCAGCCAGTGGATGGTCGGCGTCAAACGACTCATCGCAGAGACCCGAAAACTGAGTCCAGAACTCTTAGAACCACTTCAGAAACCCTCAGAGCCGAGCCAGGACCCTGCAGACCCGGTCCAGGACCCACTCTCTCAGTCCTGACTCAGTGAACTTTGACTCTTTTAAAAACATCTTCATCTGGGGGTCAAAGGTCGGATGGGTACACTACAAGACTCTCCTTAGCAACAGCCTGGCAACCAGCCCTGACCCCGTCTCTCTGACCTGTATGAGGTCATGTGATGTTTCCACCAATCACAGCCGAGCTTTTTATTGGATGATGAATAAATCTTCTTTCTTCTTTCTGTGCTTTTATTTTACTGTATGGAGGACCCACACCGCCAAAATAAAACACATATACATCAAATATTAAGAAATCAATATTCTAATTATTAAATGCCCTAAAATAATATTGAAGTATTGACATTAATTCATTTATAAATCTGACATAAAGTGATATTTCGGTTCTGATTAATTTAATAATTTAGTATTTTTTATGAAGAAATAAAAATATAACTTAAATAAAATGTAAAGAAAAATAAAATAATAAAAGCATATGAAATATTAATGTGTGTACGTCAGCATGTGACCAGCAGAGGGCAGCAATATATTGATCACTGACAGTATATAGACTGATATATTGATCACTAACAGTATATAGACTGATATATTGATCACTGGACTCCCTGACTGGTCCCAGAGCAGCAGACTGCTCTGCACTGTGTGTTCTGACCCCTTTCTATCAGAACCAGCATTAACTGTTTCAGCAGTTTGAGCTACAGTAGCTCGTCTGTTGGATCGGATCACACGGGCCAGCCTTCACTCCCCACCTGCATCAATGAGCCTCGGCCCCCCATGACCCTGTCTCTGGATCTGTTCCTTCCTTGGACCACTTTTTATTGGTACTAACCTCTGCAGACCGGGAACCCCCCACAATAGCTGCAGGTTTGGAGATGTTCTAAACCAGTCGTCCATCACAATGTGGTTCTTGTGAAAGTGGATCAGATCCTCACGCGGCCCATTTTTCCTGCTTCTAAGGCATCAACTGTTCACTGTGCCTGATATACCCCCCCACTGACAGGAGCCCTGAAATCAAATGCATATAAAACGTTTAGAACAATAAGCACAAACACACAAAAATTATGGCTGACAGCTAACTGCTAACTGCTAACAGCTCACTGTTATAATACTGTAATGCTATATATATAATACTGTAATACTAATACTGTAATACTATATATATAATATTGTAATACAATATATGTAATACTTTAATACTATATATAATACTGTAATACTATATATATAATACTTCAATACTATATATAATACTGTAATACTATATATAATACTGTAATACTAATACTGTAATACTATATATATAATACTGTAATACATATATAATACTGTAATACTATATATATAATACTGTAATACTATATATATATATGTCTGGATCAATAACTGAATCAATAATTGGATCAATAACTGAATCAATAACTGAATGAATAACTAGATCAATAACTGAATCAGTAACTGGATCAATAACTGAATCAATAACTGGATCAATAACTGAATCAATAACTGGATCAATACCTGAATCAATAACTAGATCAATAACTAGATCAATTACTGGATCAATAACTGGATGAATAACTGGAGTTATGGAAGAATGGGGGCAGGAACGGAGAAGGCTCTGTCGCCCCAGGTTCGGTGCTTGGTCCTGGGTGGTGGAGTCCGGAGGTTTGCGTCAGATGAGCGGAGGCTGCTGGATGGGTTGTGGAGGTGGAGCAGGTCAGTGAGGTAGGAAGGGGCCTGGTTATGGAGGGCTTTGTGTGTGTGAGGAGGATTTTGAACTGAATTCGTTGTGGTACCGGAGCCAGTGGAGGTTCTGGAGGACAGGGGTAATGTGGTCACGGGTGCTGGTGTGGGTGAGCAGACGAGCAGCAGAGTTCTGGATGGAGTTTATTTAAGGTTTTGGATGGTGTGCCGTACACGATGCTGTCTGTCCGAGTGTTTCCTTGCCACTGTCTCCAAGGTCTTGCTCATGGTGGTACTGTTGGGTCTCTCTAAATAATGTTATAAGGAGTTTGGTCTACACCTGCTCTATTTGAAAAGTGTCCTGAGATTACAGTATTATATATATAGTATTACAGTATTATATATAATATTACAGTATTATATTACATATTACATATATTACAGTATTATATGGGGTGGGGAGAGAGAGAGAGAGAGAGAGAGAGAGAGAGAGCGACAGACAGACAGACAGGTGCACAGCAACAACAGTATTGGCAATGGCAGTCAGCGGACCATGGGGGCCCGGATCCATGATATAGTATGACAGTATTAGTATTACACTATTATATATATAGTATTAATTCAATTCAATTCAATTCAATTCAATTTTATTTGTATAGTGCCAATTCATAACAGAAGTTATCTCAGGACACTTTTCAAATAGAGCAGGTCTAGACCGAACTCCTTATAACATTAATTACAGAGACCCAACAGTAACACCATGAGCAAGCACTTGGGGACAAGGGCAAGGAAAAACTGCCTGTTAAAAGGCAGAAACCTAGGACAGATCCTTCGGCTCTAGGTGGGTGGTCGTCTGTCTCGACCAGTTGGGGTGAGAGAGAGAGAGAGAGAGACAGACAGAAAGACAGACAGACAGACAGACAGACAGGTGCACAGCAACAACAGTATTGGCAATGGCAATCTAGCAGGACCATGGCAGGAGGCTCCACCAGGATCGATAAGAACCTGCAAAACGAGAAAGCACAAGAACTCCGGGGAAGAAGTGAAGTTAGTAACATGCATTAATGGAACATGAATGAGTGCAGAAAGAGAGAGGAAGGGAGGAGCTCAGTGCACCATGGGAAATCCCCTGATAGTCTTGGCCTATAGCAGCATAACTAAGGGATGGTTCAGGACTCACCTGATCCAGCCCTAACTATAAGCTTTATCAAAGAGGAATGTCTTAAGCCTACTCTTGAATGTGGTGAGGGTGTCTGCCTCCAGAACCACAACTGGAAGCTGGTTCCACAGGAGAGGAGCTTGGTAACTGAAGGCTCTGGCTCCTGTTCTACTTTTAGAGACTATAGGAACCACAAGCAGCCCAGCATTCAGAGAACGTAGTGTTCTAGAGGGGTAATAGGGTACTATGAGCTCTTTAAGATATGAAGGGGCCTGACCATGAAGAGCTTTATAGGTGAGGAGGAGGATTTTAAATTCAATTCTACATTTTACAGGGAGCCAATGCAGAGAAGCTAGTACAGGAGAGATGTGATCTCTTTTTCTAGTTCCTGTCAGTACTCGTGCTGCAGCGTTCTGAATTAATTGGAGCGTTTTAATGGACTTATTGGGGCAACCTGATAATAAAGAGTTGCGCTAATCCCGCCTTGAAGTAACAAATGCATGGATTAGTTTTTCTGCATCTGTCTGTGATAGTATGTGTCTATTTTTTGTAATATAACGTAAATGAAAGAAGGCAGTCCTAGAGGTCTGCTTTATGTGGGAGTTAAATGACAAATCCTGATCAAAGATAACTCCAAGATTCCTGACAGTGGTGCTAGAGTGCCAAGTTAATGCCATCTAAAGTAACTATATCTTTAGACAGTGAGTCTCTAAGGTTTTTGGGGCCAAGAACAAGAATTTCGTTTTTTTCTGAGTTTAACATCAGAAAATTGCAGGTCATCCAGGATTTTATGTCCTTAAGACATGTTTGTAATTCAGATAATTGATTAATTTCATCGGGCTTGATTGATAGATATAACTGCGTATCATCTGCATAACAGTGAAAGTTAATGGAGTGATTCCTGATAGTGTTGCCTAAAGGGAGCATATATAAAGTAAATAGTATTGGTCCAAGTACAGAACCTTGTGGCACTCCATGACTAACTGTAGTATTTATTGAAGATTCATCGTTGACATGTACAAACTGCGAGCGATCTGATAAGTATGACTTAAACCAGCTTAGTGCGGTTCCTTTAATGCCAATTTGATGCTCAAGTCTCTGTAAAAGAATATTATGGTCAATGGTGTCAAATGCAGCACTAAGATCTAATAATACAAGTACAGAGACAAGTCCACTGTCAGAAGCAGTCAGAAGGTCATTATTAACTTTAACCAGAGCTGTCTCTGTGCTATGATGAACTCTAAATCCTGACTGAAAATCCTCAAATAAACTATTGTTATGTAGAAAGTCACACAACTCTTTGGCGACTACTTTCTCCAGAATCTTAGAGAGGAAGGGGAGGTTAGAAATCGGTCTATAGTTGGCTAAAACCCCTGGGTCAAGAGTGGGCTTTTTTAAGAAGGGGTTTAATTACAGCTACTTTAAAGGACTGTGGTCCATATCCTGATAATAAAGAAAGATTAATCATATCCAGTAAAGAAGTGCCAATTAAGGGAACAACTTCTTTAAGCAGCCTAGTTGGGATCGGGTCTAATAGACAGGTTGATGGCTTCGATGAAGAAATGATTGAAGTTAACTGATGAAGATTGAAGCAGAAAAACAGTCTAAACATATATCTAAGTTTACATTGGTAGAAGTCCCTAAACTTGGAGAGCCACTGATAGCTGTTGATGGCAGTTGGTGATTAATTTTCTCTCTAATAGTAATAATTTTATTATAGAAGAAGCTCATGAAGTCATTGCTACTTAAGTTTATGGGGATATGTGGCTCAATAGAGCTGTGACTCTGTCAGCCTGGCTACAGTGCTGAAGAGGAACCTAGGGTTGTTCTTATTTTCTTCTATTAGTGCTGAGTAATAGGCTCCTCTGGCATTACGGAGGGCCTTTCTATAGGTTTTAAGATTATCTTGCCAAATTGAGCGATATTCTGATAATTTGGAAGAGCGCCATTTCCTTTCAGATTTTCTAGCTATTTGCTTTAACTGGCTGGTTTGGTGGTTATACCAAGGTGCTAGTCTCCTATGTTTTAATAATTTCCTTTTTATAGGAGCGATAGAGTCTAATGTTGATCGTAGTGAGCCTGTAGCACTATCAACAAGATTATCAATTTCAGAGGGACTAAAGTCATTATAGGACTCAAATTAAAAATCAAATTCAGACATGGCATCTAATTAAACACTGAAGGAATCTCCTCCTTAAATTTAGCTACAGCACTGTCAGATAGACATCTGCTGTAGGAAGTTTTGCCTAATGGCTTATAATCTAATAGTATGAATTCAAAAGTTATTAAATAATGGTCAGATAGGAAAGGATTATGTGGGAAGACTATTAAATGTTCAATATCAATGCCATATGATAAAACAAGGTCAAGAGTGTGATTAAAACAATGAGTTGGTTTATTTACACTCTGACAGAAGCCAATTGAGTCTATTAATGATATAAATGCATTACTAAGGCTGTCATTGTCAACATCCACATGAATATTAAAATCACCTACAATAATTACTTTATCTGATTTAAGGACTAAACTTGATAAAATCTCTGAGAATTCAGATATAAAATCAGAGTACGGTCCAGGAGCGCGGTACACTATAACAAATAGAACTGGCTGCAGTGTTTTCCAGTATTACAGTATTATATATAGTATTACAGTATTATATATAGTATTACAGTATTAGTATTACAGTATTATATATATAGTATTACAGTATTATATGTAATATTACAGTATTACATATATAGTATTACAGTATTATATATATAGTATTACAGTATTATATATAATATTACAGTATTATATATAGTATTACAGTATTATATATAATATTACAGTATTATATATAGTATTACAGTATTATATATATAGTATTACAGTATTATATATAATATTACAGTATTATATATAGTATTACAGTATTAGTATTACAGTATTATATATATAGTATTACAGTATTATATGTAATATTACAGTATTATATATAGTATTACAGTATTATATATATAGTATTACAGTATTATATATATAGTATTACAGTATTATATGTAATATTACAGTATTATATATAGTATTACAGTATTATATATATAGTATTACAGTATTATATATAATATTACAGTATTATATATAGTATTACAGTATTATATATAATATTACAGTATTATATATAGTATTACAGTATTGTATATAATATTACAGTATTACATATATAGTATTACAGTATTATATATAATATTACAGTATTATATATATAGTATTACAGTATTATATATAATATTACAGTATTATATATAGTATTACAGTATTATATATAATATTACAGTATTATATATAATATTACAGTATTACATATATAGTATTACAGTATTATATATAATATTACAGTATTATATATATAGTATTACAGTATTATATATAGTATAACAGTATATATATTATATATAGCAGTTTTGGGTCCCGTATAATCTCTGGGAGCTGGCGGTGTTTGCAGTCTTACTTTCCAGCACAGACAGAGAGGATGCAGTTACCATGGTGACCGCTGTGTGTGTGTGTGTGTGTGTGTGTGTGTGTGTGTGTCTGTTCCCGGTCTGTGATTGGCTGGCGGGGGGAGAGTGGGCGGGCAGGTGGAGCATCTGAAATTGTCACTCTCTCTCTCTCTCTCTCTCTCTCCCACAGATCAGGACAGAGAGACAGAGAGACGCAGCTCTCCTCACTGCTCTCTCTCTCCTTCATCCCTCCATCTTCTTCTTCCTCCTCCTCTTCCTCCTCCTCTTCCTCTCCTCCGTCCACAACCTAAACTCTCTCTCTGCTTCTTCTGTGTCTTCTACTCTTTCTGTCTCCTCCATCCTCCTCACACTCACACGCACACACACACACACACACACACACACACACACACAGGTCTAACTCTTGGCCTTCATCATCATCATCATCATCATCCTCAGAGGAAGACGGACAGGGAGCCCCCTGACCCCTCGCCCCGCTGGGTCGCCATGGCAACGGTCATCTGCACTCGTTTCACCGAAGAGTATCAGCTGTATGAAGAGCTGGGCAAGTGAGTACCATCATCTTCATCATCTTCATCATCAGTTCCTTGGTACATTTAATATAAATATTATTATTCAGGATAATAATCTACATTTATTTCATTAGTCTTAATTAATTATAATTATTTTATAAGTCACAGAATCAGATTCATTGATATATTTGATATTGTTTTTAGTTTTTATATTTTTTATTCATACTTAAATTCAAGTTTAAATTTTTTTTAATTATTATATTTTCATCATATTTGTTTATATATTTTTGTTTATATATTTGTATTATATATATGTATATTTGCTTAATTTTAATTGTACATTTTAATAGATATATTTTTTTTGTTATAAATATATTTCTTGTCTACATAATTTCTTTCTCCGATGTGATTTATTTTGTTAAATTCTTCTTGTTTTATTATTATTATTATTATTATTATTATTATTATTATGATTATGATTATTATTAATTATTAATAATAATAATAATAAATATTACAATTAGCATATTTTATATCAATATATTACATTCGAAATCATCTTTATTACACTTTTTGTTTACCTAATTTAAATTTGTCTATACTCTAAAATGTTTGTCTTTTTGTTATTTAATTATTAATGTAATTATTAAATATTTTACACCATAATTATATTTTCTATTAATATTATCGTTATTTTAATATTATATAAGTTACATTTTCTAATATTTAATCAATGTTTTAGTTAAATAAATTATGAAGTCTAAATGATCATTAATACAAAAATAATGAATAATAACCATAATATATTGTTAATATATCAGTTAATGATATACAACATTTATTGATTATGTTGCTGATCAGTCTGATCAATAATGACTGATACAAACAGAGATAGATATATAGATAGATATAGATGGAGGGATGAGTGTGTCACCTTTCTGACCTCAACCCACTCACCACCCACACACACACACACACACACACACACACACACACACACACACACACACACACACACACACACACACACACACACACACACACACACACACACACACACACACACACACACACACACACACACTGCCAGCTCTCTTACATAATGTGCTGGTGGGTGGATACAGAATACAGAATATGAAGCTTTCATAAGAAACAGAAATGTTTCTGTAGAAAGTGTTTCAGTTCCCACAATCAATATTGTGATCAGGAGATCAGGACAGGATTATTGTTGATACTTAATTATCAATACAGTATTTATTGATTGCACAGGAACTGATCTGAGACATTTAATCCACAAACACTGGATCCTACATTTTCCATAATGCAACTGGACAGTGTCTGTCATCACAGCACAGTGACATCACTGCTGTAGTCTGATGACATCACTGTGACATCACCAGTCCATTAGCAGTCATCGTATCATTATTAGTACTATTAGCAGTAACAGTATCATTATTAGTACTATTAGCAGTAACAATATCATTATTAGTACTATTAGCAGTAACAGTATCATTATTAGTACTATTAGCAGTAACAGTATCATTATTAGTACTATTAGCAGTAACAATATCATTATTAGTACTATTAGCAGTAACAGTATCATTATTAGTACTATTAGCAGTAACAATATCATTATTAGTACTATTAGCATTACCTGTTACAGTAACTGTAGTATTGTCAGTGATACTATATGTTGTTATCAGGTGAAAATGTTCTTGTTGAAATGAGACAGTGTTGTTTTTTATTCAGTGGTTCCTCTTGTTATGTTTTCAGGGGAGCGTTTTCAGTGGTGCGACGCTGTGTGAAGGTGCTGTCAGGCCAGGAGTACGCTGCCAAGATCATCAACACCAAGAAACTCTCTGCCAGAGGTGAGGACCTGAAGGAGGACTGCATTCAGAATTAATGCAAATATCATTATAGCTGAATAATCATTTTTATTTATTCCTAAAACAACTATTTTCATAATATGAGAGAAAGTTTCTAAATGAGCCACCATGTTGGTCCGATTTGAAATCCCAGAGCAGGAAGCGTTTGTCCAATCAGGTGCAACCAGGAAGTGCTGGTGCAATTGTAGGATAGGAAGCAGCACGACCCCTCTGTTTGGTGGTTCCTCAAAAAGCTCACACCGTCTACAGGCGACTCCTCTCTCCTCTTCCAGTTGTTGTTTTTGCTTTCGGTATCTATGCTACTGATAACTGACATGCCTGTTTTTGCTGGGGCAAATGGGGGCTCGTTTGGTTGGTCTACGCTAAATGGGGGCTCGTCCGGTTGGTCGGTGTTAAATGGGGGTTTCTCTGGTTGGGCTGCATTAAATGGGGGCTCGTCCGGTTGGTCTGCGTTAAATGGGGGCTCGTCCGGTTGGTCTGCCTTAGATGGGGGTTCCTCTGGTTGGTCTGCTTTAAATGGGGGCTCGTCCGGTTGGTCTCCCTTAAATGGGGGTTCCTCTGGTTGGTCTGCTTTCAATGGGGCTCGTCCGGTTGGTCTGCCTTAAATGGGGGCTCGTCTGGTTGGTCTGCCTTAAATTGGGGCTCGTCCGGTTGGTCTGTGTTAAATGGGGGTTCGTCCGGGATCTGGGCGTGGTGCTGTTTTGCTGTTTAGCAACAGTTTGTTTTAGTATTGACTCTCCTCAGTTAATCTTATTCTTATTATAAATCCTGAACCTCTCTATCTGGCATGATAGCATTAGCATTAGCACAGCTAGGTTTTTTCTGTGATCATTCACTAACAAACTAAACACCCAGAGGAAGACTTAGTCAGTCAACTTTAATCCAGAACAGACTCATTCCTTCTGACAGCAATATGAAAGATGGCCGACTGAATCTACCTGAGTCCAACCTGAGACCAACCTGAGCGGTTCTCAAACTGGATCATTTATTTTTCTCCTGACATTTGTTCAGAAACAGTTCACTCCATACTGAACTCCTCCTGCTCATTCTTCATTGGTCCTCATTGGCCCTCAGGGTCCTCATGTTTTCATATTTCAGCTGTTTAGTTGCTGCCTGTTGGACCGTTATTGGATTATTGATTCACTGACAGACACAGAACAATTCTGTCTGTCTGTCTGTCTGTTTGTCTGTCTGTCTGATTTTTTTTCCACTATTCTGGTTTTGAGATTTCCTCCCGTTGCTTAGCAACACCTTGCAAAGTTGATAAAGAAATGTGTCGAACATCACTGCAGTCACTGTTACATAATACTAATACTAATAATAATAATAATAATAATAATACCAATAATAAGACTAATACTAATAATACTACTACTAGTAATAATAATAATAATGACAAAAATTATAATAATAATAATAATAATGTTGTTGACTGTAGATGTCGCTGCTGAATCAATAAGTAAGTCCAGTAGATCAATTAGGGCTGCAGCTATTGATTATTCTCATTATTGGTTGAGTTGATTATGTTTTCCACTAATTGAAGAGGACGTCAGAAACAAACAAAAGTCACAGATATTAAAGTTATTTTTATTATTTTTAATGATCCTGTCAGTCAAAGAGAAAATCTTCACATCAGGAACCAGAGTGATATCTGATCAATGAAACGATGATTGATTCAGGGACAGAAAGAAACTAACATTTATGTAATCTGAAATAATTTGACCCTTCTGAGCCACTGTACAGTGAATTAAACATTTACCTTCAGGGAGCCATTACAGATCACTGATCACTGTTAGATAATTGATCACTGATCACTGATAGATCACTGATAAATCACTGAAAGATCACTGAAAGATCATTGATCACGGATAGATCACTGATCACTGATAGATCATTGATAAATCACTGAAAGATCACTGAAAGATCATTGATCACTGATAGATCACTGATAGATTACTGATCACTGAATGAGTCTGTGTGTCTGTGTGTCTATTTCAGTCTCTGTTGGAAACCTTCCTCTGTCTCTGATCCTGGTCCTGGATCTGTCTCTGCAGGCTCTGCTGGAACTGATCCTGGTCCTGGATCAGAGTCAGTGGGTTTGGTTCAGAACATAATGAAGAACCACTGACACAGAGACATCAGAGGCCTTACATTGATTGATTGATTATTAATTATTACCATCAAACCTCCAAGAACAGCAGAGTCCCAGTTAGACACAGGTCTCCTTTACCAGCCTGGAGTCTCCGTTAGAGTCCTGGTCTGGATTTTACAGACATGATCTGGATCCATGAAACCTCTTAAAGCTTCATCAGTGTGGATGCTGCACATGCTTTACACAAACTGTGAGCACCAAAGCATCGTCACTCAAATTAAATCAGATTGACTCAGATTGACTCAGATTGACTCAGATTCACTCAGTTTAACTCAGATTCACTCAGATTCACTCAGATTTACCAGCTTGGTGAACCAGAGTCATAAAGTCCGTCCATTATTTATGTTCCTTTAGTCCATAAGGGTCCATCAGACAATCAAAGGTTGTGAACAGTGTGTAGTCTGTTCACAGCTCTTGTATGTCCTGTATGTTTTCTGAAGTTTACACTCTGCGTACTTAAAACACAAAGTTGGGAAAGAGTTTATTTGTCTTTGGGGGGAGAAACTAGTCCTTTGTCCTCTTTTGTAAACTTGGTAAATGTTAGTTTGTTGTGTATTTTGGTTGAAAGTGGGTAGAGCTCTATGGGGTACGTTCTGGGGCACCCCCTATCTGTAGGGTCTGTGTGTAGTGGGATTGGACCTGGACGCAGACACTGACCTGATACACTGCGTTCTGACTCTCTCAAGCTCTGACCCACCTGGTTTTTGCTCTGCTTTGTCTTTTGATCTTTGTCCCAACCCAGCTCAAGGCTGGACAAAGAACAGGAGAACACACAAGTTTGAACTGAAATAGGTTTTATATAACTCAGTGGGCTCAGACGCATCCATCGGTACCAACCATGTCACGCTAGGGAAGGAGGTTAAATGACGCTCCAAAGTTGGTGATGGAAAAACTGGCATGGCCATGTCAAAGGGATCCATTGACCTCTGACCTCAACATATCTTCTGCTAACCCCATGCAGTTTTTAGCATCTGGTATAAATGTGTTATTGTAATAGTTCTGTAGACTGGGTCCATTAACAATGTTAACTGAAAGCTGAGTCACAAACTTGAAACCACTCCAGTCTAAAAGGTCTGAACTTGTCTCTGTGGAAGGGAACTGACCCATTGGTCTGCTCCAGTTGGGCTTAATGGTCGTCTCCATGTTGGTGTTTAGCAGCCAGCAGAGGTCACGTACAGCGAGTGGAGCTGCTCTCATTGGCTGCTCTCCTGCTCACACAGGATCTGGTATTCCAGATAAACAGTAAAATGTGTTTGAACAGGTTTTGACCTGCAGCTCCACTCTTACCATAGTTTGAGAACCAGCTGATTACATTAATTAACCTGAAGAGTGTTAGCTGTCAGTACCTGTCTGCAGCCCGGAGTCCTGTCTGCAGGTGTTACATCAGGTAGGGCAGTATGTGTGCCCAATCCAATCCAATAACCTCGTTAAGCTCTCAGTAGATAATGAAGAAGAGTTAAGATTTAAGCTTAATATACTGTATGTGCTAACATTAGCAGTTAGCATATATGCTAGCATTAGCAGTATGTTAGCAACAGTCCGAACCTTCACTGAACTGTCTGTATCAATACCTGATCAATAACCCATCAATAAGTTTGTGTGTGCTGGCAGATCATCAGAAGTTGGACCGCGAAGCTCGAATCTGTCGTTTACTGAAGCACCCCAACATCGGTGAGTACTACTGATACTGTCTCTCTCTCTGTCTCTGTCGCTCTCTGTCTCTGTCTCTGTCTCTGTCTCTCTCTCTGTCTCTCTCTCTCTCTGTCTCTGTCTCTGTCTCTCTATCTCTGTCTCTCTCTCTGTCTCTGTCTCTGTCTCTCTCTCTGTCTCTGTCTCTCTCTCTGTCTCTCTCTCTCTCTGTCTCTGTCTCTCTCTCTCTCTCTGTCTCTCTCTGTGTCTCTCTCTCTCTCTCTCTCTCTCTCTCTCTCTACCACCCACCTAGAGCTGAAGGATCTGTCCTAGGTTTCTGCCTTTTAACAGGCAGTGTTTCCTTGCCCTTGTCTCCAAGGTCTTGCTCATGGTGGTACTGTTGGGTCTCTGTAATTAATGTTATAAAGAGTTCGGTCTAGACCTGCTCTTTTTGAAAAGTGTCCTGAGATAACTTCTGTTATGAATTGGTGCTATACAAATAAAACTGAATTGAATTGAACTACTGATACTACAGATAATACAGATGAAACAGATACTACTGATACTATTGTAGATTACAGAGATAATAGAGACTACTGACATTAATACTAATAAAGATGGAATTAAAGCTCCAGTGTGTCACATCAATATAATAATTATAGGTTTGTTTTTATTAGTGTTTAATTAGAATCAGAAATTAAGAATATGTCTAATCATGTAAATAAGGCAAGGCAAATGTAATTCTATAGCAAATTTCATATCCAATGCAAGTGGACGAGCAAAAGCACAAAAAAAGAAACAAATGATAAAAACAATAGAACTAACAATGAATTTGATTGATTAAAGATTAATTACAAGCAGTGGCAATCGGGCTGATCTTTAGGTCGGACTTAAAGTCAGTAAAAAACTCCTTTATTGTCCCAATCAGCCAATCAGTTGCTATTATAGATGCTGCCATATAGCTGATTATTAATCCTAATGATGCTGATGATGGTAACTGTCCAACATATGCAGGTTAGCATCAGTCAGTGTAACAGCTGGAGAATGAACATTTCTAAATTTAAACTTTAACAATACAGCTCTATTGTACAGACTTTAACATATTTTATAATATAATACAGTTTAATATAATGTAATATAATATGATATAATATAATATGATGTAATATAATATAAAATAATGTAATATAATGTAATATGATATAATATAATATAATATAATATAATATAATGTAATATAATATAAAATAATGTAATATAATGTAATATAATGTAATGTAATATAATATAATGTAATGTAATGTAATATAATGTAATATAATGTAATGTAATGTAACATAATATAATGTAATATAATATAATAATATAATATAATTTAATATAATATAATGTAATGTAATGTAATTTAATATAATGCAATATAATGTAATGTAATGTAACATAATATAATGTAATGTAATGTAACATAATATAATATAATATAATATAATGTAATGCAGTGTTTAGAAAATTGTGAACGTGTCCTTTAGATTATATCTTCAAATGTAAAAAGTGTTAAAAACAAAATGATGGAACTTGCAGGAAGTAAACTAATGTGATTTCCTGTGGGTATTTCACAATAAAAGCCCCAGAGTGTGTCTCAGGTCCGAGTGAGGAAGAAACAAATTGTCTTTATTAAAACAAACTGAACCAGAGTCAGACATTCAAATACAACCGTGGACCCAAACCAGCCAATCAACACGTTGCGGCTGAACCCAGCATCCAATCACAGCTCTGTGTGGGCAGGTGAAGCTCCGCAGAAACTGAGCAGTGTTACGTAACTCTGTGTGTGTGTGTGTGTGTGTGTGTGTGTTGCTAGGCAACAGTGTCCTTAGGTGAAGGCATCAAAAACCTCTTTCCTCCTACACACACACACACACAATGTAATCCCACTGCTGTACTGTGTGGGAGTGCTTCGAGAGAAAAACCTGATTATTTCTTTCTGAGTGCTTCACACAGGTACGACTGTGTGTGTGTGTGTGTGTGTGTGTGTGTGTGGGCAGCAGCTTTCCTCTTGTTATATATCCTATTATACAATCTATGCAGAGAGTTTCCACATTGAGAGCAGAGACTGTCTGCAGACTCACAGCATTTACTGCAGTTACAGTTTTGTATTCATGGAAATGTCTTTAAAGGACAATGAGGTGTTCATTATCAGGAAATAATGCTTCATTAACGAGGTGTTCATTATTAGAAAATAATGCTTCATTAACGAGGTGTTCATTATCAGGAAATAATGCATCATTAACAAGGTGTTCATTATCAGGAACTAATGCATCATTAACAAGGTATTCATTATTAGAAAATAATGCTTCATTAACAAGGTGTTCATTATCAGGAAATAATGCATCATTAACAAGGTGTTCATTATCAGGAAATAATGCATCATTAACAAGGTGTTCATTATCAGGAAATAATGCATCATTAACAAGGTGTTCATTATTAGAAAATAATGCATCATTAACAAGGTGTTCATTATCAGGAAATAACGCGTCATTAACAAGGTGTTCATTATTAGAAAATAATGCATCATTAACAAGGTGTTCATTATCAGGAAATAATGCATCATTAATAAGGTGTTCATTATCAGGAAATAACGCGTCATTAATAAGGTGTTCATTATCAGGAAATAATGCGTCATTAACAAGGTGTTCATTATCAGGAAATAATGCATCATTAACAAGGTGTTCATTATTAGAAAATAATGCATCATTAACAAGGTGTTCATTATCAGGAAATAACGCGTCATTAACAAGGTGTTCATTATCAGGAAATAATGCGTCATTAACAAGGTGTTCATTATCAGGAAATAATGCGTCATTAACAAGGTGTTATTCCTGATAATGAACGCCTGATACCACAGTCTGACCAAAGAAAAATAAAGATCATTAGTTTTTATTTTCTTGTGTTTTCAATCAAAATCTAAAGATATTTACAAGTTAGTTAGGGACTGACTAATACCTGGAAGAACCATTACCATCCCATAATGTTCTAATGCAATGACTCACTGCTCCAGTAAATAGGACGAACCTTAGAGACGACTCTGCAACAGGAGATATTTCTAGTTCCCTCCACTCAGAGAGCTAACGTTACGCTACGAGCCAGAGAGCTAACGTTACTGATGTTTTTTTTTTAATGTGCAAACAAATTCAAACTTTGAGCAAAAGGAGAAACGTATTAGTAATTATTAAACGAAAATAAAAGTAATAAAGAACGTCTATATAATGACGCCATACTACAGGATCATTTATAGTGAGCAGCAGGGGGCGATAGAGAGGTTTATGAGAGCTGTCATGGCGTCCATCTTTATAAATGTGGGTGTCTGTGTGAAGTTAATGAGTAGAAGTTGACCTAATGACAGAGAGAGGTTGAGAACCATGAATTGACAAATAAAGTTCTCTCTTTCAGTTCGGCTCCATGACAGCATCTCAGAGGAGGCGCACCATTACCTCATCTTCGACCTGTGAGTGTCTATATATCAGTTTATTGTGCTTTGTTGTTTTATTGATGTTCTGTGTTTAGTTTGTCATAAACAAACAGAGCCTAACTCTTTCTATCACATTGTGTTGTTTACACAGCAGTTTTCCCACAATGCCTTTCTCTCGGTGTGTCTCAGTGTCACAGGTGGAGAATTATTTGAAGACATTGTAGCCAGAGAATATTACAGTGAAGCTGACGCCAGGTAGGAAACACATATCCACCATCAATAACTCCATCCTCTTCCTCCTTCTTCATCACTGATTGGAACAGTCTGACCTCTGACCTCTGACCTCTGTCTACAGCCACTGTATCCAGCAGATTCTGGAGGCGGTGCTACACTGTCACCAGATGGGTGTGGTCCATCGAGACCTGAAGGTACCTGTCTGTCTGTCTGTCTGTCTGTCTGTCTGTCTGTTAGGATTAGTGTGTCTGATTAATTATTATTTATTTCTTATTTAAATGCTTTTATTTCTATTACAGTTATTTTTCTGTAATCGCAATCAGACAACCTGATCTCCCCCTTTAAAGTCCTGTTACCCTTGTTAGCATCCAACATGTAAACTAATGGCAGAGTTAGCATGTTAGCTTCTGTCCTGTGTCTGCAGCCGGAGAACCTGCTGCTGGCCTCAAAGTCTAAAGGGGCGGCGGTCAAACTGGCCGACTTCGGACTCGCCATCGAGGTGGAGGGAGACCAGCAGGCCTGGTTCGGTAAGACCTCGCTGATATATTACTGTAATAATAATACTTAATTACAATATACAGTAGTAATACTAATACTACTGTCTTATTACTGTAATAATAATACTTAATTACAATATACAGTAGTAATACTAATACTACTGTCTTATTACTGTAATAATAATACTTAATTACAATATACAGTAGTAATACTAATACTACTGTGTTATTACTGTAATAATAATACTTAATTACAATATACAGTAGTAATACTAATACTACTGTGTTATTACTGTAATAATAATACTTAATTACAATATACAGTAGTAATACTAATACTACTGTCTTATTACAATGATATAGCCTACTGTAATAATACTGTAATAATACTGTAATATACAGTATTATTATAGTAATAATGATACTTAATTATGATATACAGTGTAATATACTGTAATAATACTAATACTACAGTAATATACTGTATATTAATATGCCCAGGCAACAGACACCCTTAATCCTCTTGTGTGTGTGTGTGTGTGTGTGTGTGTGTGTGTGTGTTTACAGGCTTTGCGGGGACTCCAGGGTATCTCTCTCCAGAGGTTCTGAGGAAGGATCCATACGGGAAAGCAGTGGACCTCTGGGCCTGTGGTCAGATCCTCCTCTCCTCTCCTCCCCTCTCCTCTCCCTCTCCTCTACTCTCCTCCTATACTTGTTTCCTCTCCTCTCCTCCTCTCCTTTCCTCTTCACCTTGTTTCCTCTCCTCTCCTTGTTTCCTCTCCTCCTCTTACTCTCCTCCTTTCCTCCTCTCCTCTCCTCTTCACCTTGTTTCCTCTCCTCTCCTCTCCTCTCCTTGTTTCCTCTCCTCCTCTTACTCTCCTCCTTTCCTCCTCTCCTCCTCTCCTCTCCTTTCCTCTCCTTGTTTCCTCTCCTCCTCTTACTCTCCTCCTTTCCTCCTCTCCTCCTCTCCTCTCCTCTCCTCCTCTCCTTGTTTCCTCTCCACCTCTCCTTGTTTCCTCTCCTCTCTCAGGTGTGTCTCTCTCTGTCTCTCAGGTGTGATTCTTTATATCTTACTGGTCGGTTATCCTCCATTCTGGGATGAAGATCAACATCGTCTCTACCAGCAGATCAAAGCCGGAGCTTATGATGTAGGTCAATTACTGACTGTTTATTACACTGATTGTTTATTACACTGACTGTTTATTATACTGACTGTTTATTATACTGACTGTTTATAATACTGACTGTTTATTACACTGATTGTTTATTACACTGACTGTTTATTACACTGACTGTTTATTATACTGACTGTTTATCTGACTGTTTATAATAATGACTGTTTATTATACTGACTGTTTATTATAGTGACTGTTTATTACACTGACTGTTTATAATACTGACTGTTTATTACACTGACTGTTTATTACACTTTATTACTCCTCCCCTCCTCTTCCTCCTTCTCCTCCTCCTTCTCCTCCTCCTCTCCTCCTTCTCCTTCTCCTCCTCCTGCTCTCCTCCTTCTCCTCCTCCCTCTCCTCCTTCTCATCCTCCTCCTCCTGCTCTCCTCCTCTCCTCCTTCTCCTCCTTCTCCTCCCTCTCCTCCTCCTCCTCCTCCTCCTGCTCTCCTCCTCCTCCTCCTTCTCCTGCTCTCCTCCTCCTCCTCCTCCTCCTGCTCTCCTCCTTCTCCTCCTTCTCCTCCTCTCCTCCTTCTCCTCTCCTCCTTCTCCTCCTCCTCCTCCTCCTCCTCCTCCTCCTCCTCCTCCTCCTCCTCCTCCTCCTCCTCTCCTCCTCCTCTCCTCCTGCTCTCCTCCTCTCCTCCTCTTCTCCTCCTTCTCCTCCTCTCCTCCTGCTCTCCTCCTCCTCCTCCTCCTCCTCCTTCTCCTGCTCTCCTCCTCCTCCTCCTCCTGCTCTCCTCCTTCTCCTCCTCCTCCTCCTCCTCCTTCTCCTGCTCTCCTCCTTCTCCTCCTTCTCCTCCCTCCTCCTCTCCCTCCTCCTCCTCCTCTCCTCCTCCTCCTCCTCCTCCTCTCCTCCCTCCCTCCTCTCCTCCTGCTCCTCCCTCCTCTCCTCCTTCTCCTCCCCTTCTCCTCCTCTCCTCCTGCTCTCCCTCCTCCTCCTCCTCCTCCTCCTCCTTCTCCTGCTCTCCTCCTCCTCCTCCCCTCCTGCTCTCCTCCTTCTCCTCCCCTCCTCCTCCTCCTTCTCCTGCTCTCCTCCTTCTCCTCCTTCTCCTCCCCTCCTCCTCTCCTCCTCCTCCTCCTCTCCTCCTTCTCCTCCTTCTCCTCCTCCTCTCCTCCTTCTCATCCTCCTCCTCCTGCTCTCCTCCTCTCCTCCTTCTCCTCCTTCTCCTCCTCTCCTCCTCCTCCTCCTCCTCCTGCTCTCCTCCTCCTCCTCCTTCTCCTGCTCTCCTCCTCCTCCTCCTCCTGCTCTCCTCCTCCTTCTCCTCCTCCTCCTCCTGCTCTCCTCCTTCTCCTCCTTCTCCTCCTCTCCTCCTTCTCCTCTCCTCCTTCTCCTCCTCCTCCTCCTCTCCTCCTTCCTCCCTCCTCCTCCTCCTCCTCTTCTCCTCCTCCTCCTCCTCCTCTCCTCCTCCTCTCCTCCTGCTCTCCTCCTCTCCTCCTTCTCCTCCCTTCTCCTCCTCTCCTCCTGCTCTCCCTCCTCCTCCTCCTCCTCCTCCTCCTTCTCCTGCTCTCCTCCTCCTCCTCCTCCTCCTGCTCTCCTCCTTCCTCCTCCTCCTCCCCTCCTCCTTCTCCTGCTCTCCTCCTTCTCCTCCTTCTCCTCCTCCTCCTCTCCTCCTCCTCCTCCTCCTCCTCTCCTCCTCCTCCTCCTCCTCCTCTCCTCCTCCTCTCCTCCTGCTCTCCTCCTATCCTCCTTCTCCTCCTTCTCCTCCTCTCCTCCTGCTCCTCCTCCTCCTCCTCCTCCTCCCTCCTTCTCCTGCTCTCCTCCCTCCCTCCTCCTCCTGCTCTCCTCCTTCTCCTGCTCTCCTCCTCCTCCTCTCCTCCTCCTCCTCCTCTCCTCTCCTCCTCCTCCTTAAGTTTCCCTCTCCTGAATGGGACACAGTGACTCCTGAAGCCAAAGATCTGATCAATAAGATGTTAACGATCAATCCATCCAAACGGATCACAGCAGCCGAAGCTCTCAAACACCCCTGGATCTCAGTGAGTAAACATAAACAAATAAACAAATAAACATAAACACATGAGATTATATTGATTGATTGTGTGCTGCTGTTATATAATGAGATGATGATGATGATGATGATGATGATGATCTTCCTCAGCACCGGTCCACCGTGGCGTCCTGTATGCACAGACAGGAAACAGTCGAGTGTCTGAAGAAGTTCAACGCCAGGAGGAAACTCAAGGTAGGTTAAAGGTCAGAGGTTAAAGGTCAATCTGATCAATAATGTGTGTCTTACTTCACTTTAATAACTACACCTGTTCCTTCCTTCCCTCCCTCCTTCCCTCCCTCCTTCCTTCCTTCCTTCCTTCCCTCCTTCCTTCCTTCCCTCCCTCCTTCCTTCCTTCCTTCCTTCCTTCCTTCCTTCCCTCCTTCCTTCTCCTTCGTTCCTTCCCTCCCTCCTTCCTTCCTTCCTTCCCTCCCTCCTTCCTTCGTTCCTTCCTTCCCTCCTTCCTTCCTTCCTTCCTTCCTTCCCTCCCCTCCTTCCTTCGTTCGTTTGTTCGTTCCTTCCCTCCTTCCTTCCTCCCTTCCTTCCCTCCTTCCCTTCTTCCTTCCTTCCTTCCTTCCTTCCCTCCCTTCCTTCCCTCCTTCCCTCCTTCCTTCCTTCCTTCCTTCCTTCCTTCCCTCCTTCCTTCCCTCCTTCCCTCCTTCCTTCCTTCCTTCCCTCCCTCCTTCCTTCCTTCCTTCCTTCCCTCCTTCCTTTCTTCCTTCCTCCCTTCCTTCCCTTCTTCCTTCCTTCCTTCCTTCCTTCCCTCCTTCCCTCCTTCCTTCCTTCCTTCCCTCCTTCCTACCTTCCCTCCTTCCTTCCTTTCTTCCTTTCTTCCTTTCTTCCTTCCTCCCTTCCTTCCTTTCTTCCTTCCTTCCCTTCTTCCTTCATTCCTTCCCTTCTTCCTTCCTTCCTTCCTTCCTTCCTTCCTTCCTTCCCTCCTTCCTTCCTTCCTTCCCTCCTTCCTTCCCTCCTTCCCTCCTTCCTTCCTTCCTTCCCTCCTTCCTTCCTTCCTTCCCTCCTTCCTTTCTTCCTTCCTCCCTTCCTTCCCTCCTTCCCTTCTTCCTTCCTTCCTTCCTTCCTTCCCTCCTTCCCTCCTTCCTTCCCTCCTTCCCTCCTTCCTTCCTTCCTTCCCTTCCTTCCTACCTTCCCTCCTTCCTTCCTTTCTTCCTTTCTTCCTTCCTCCCTTCCTTCCTTCCTTCCTTCCTTCCCTCCTTCCCTCCTTCCTACCTTCCTTCCCTCCTTCCCTCCTTCCTTCCTTCCTTCCCTCCTTCCTACCTTCCCTCCTTTCTTCCTTTCTTCCTTTCTTCCTTCCTCCCTTCCTTCCTTTCTTCCTTCCTTCCCTTCTT